TCCAATTTTTTGAAGTATTGGCGAACTATGGGCCAAGTATGGCAAACTATGGGAGGCGAGAAAAACACTTATTTCAAACTTTTTGAACTATGGGCGAAGTGTGGCCCAAATATGGCGGAGTATGGGCAGCGAGAAATAAACTTTTTTCAAAATTTTTGAACCATGGGCGAACTATGGGTCAAGTATGGCAGAGTATGGGAGGAGAGAAAAAGACTTTTTTCAAACTTTTTGAACTATGGGCGAACTATGGGCCAAGTATGGCAGAGTGTGGGAGGCGAGAAAGACACGTTTTTCAAAATTTTTGGGCTATGGGCGAACTATGTGCCAAGTATGGCGGAGTATGGGAAGCGAGAAATACACTTTTTTTAAAATTTTTGAAGTATGGGCGAACTATGGGCCAAGTATTGGCAAACTATGGGAGGCGAGAAAAACACTTATTTCAAAATTTTTGAACTATGGGCGAAGTGTGGGCCAAATATGGCGGAGTATGGGCAGCGAGAAATAAACTTTTTTCAAAATTTTTGAACCATGGGCGAACTATGGGTCAAGTATGGCAGAGTATGGGAGGCGAGAAAATCACTTTTCTCAAACTTTTGTAAACTATGGGCAATCTATGGGCCAAGTATGGCAAACTATGGGATGGGAGGAAAACACTTTTTTATAAATTTTTGAACTATGGGCTAACTATGGGCCAAGTATGGCGGAGTATTGGAGGCGAGAAAAACAATTTTCTCAAAATTTTTGAACTATGGGCGAACAATGGGTCAAGTATGGCGGAGTATGGGAGGCGAGAAAAACACGTTTTTCAAAATTTTTGGACTATAGGCGAACTATGGGCCAAGTATGGCGGAGTATGGGAAGCGAGAAATACACTTTTTTCCAATTTTTTGAAGTATGGGCGAACTATGGGCCAAGTATTGGCAAACTATGGGAGGCGAGAAAAACACTTATTTCAAACTTTTTGAACTATGGGCGAAGTGTGGGCCAAATATGGCGGAGTATGGGCAGCGAGAAATAAACTTTTTTCAAAATTTTTGAACCATGGGCGAACTATGGGTCAAGTAGGGCAGAGTATGGGAGGCGTGAAAATCACTTTTCTCAAGCTTTTGTAAACTATGGGCAATCTATGGGCAAAGTATGGCAAACTATGGGATGGGAGGATAACACTTTTTTCTAAATTTTTGAACTATGGGCGAACTATGGGCCAAGCATGGCGGAGTATTGGAGGCGAGAAAAACACTTTTCTCAAAATTTTTGAACTATGGGCGAACAATGGGCCAAGTATGGCGGTGTATGGGAGGCGAGAAAAACACGTTTTTCAAAATTTTTGGACTATAGGCGAACTATGGGCCAAGTATGGCAAAGTATGGGAGGGGAGGAAAACACTTTTTTCTTTTTTTTTGAACTATGGGCGAACTATGGGTCAAGTATGGCAGAGTATGGGAGGCGAGAAAATCACTTTTCTCAAACTTTTGTAAACTATGGGCAATCTGTAGGCCAAGTATGGCAAACTATGGGATGGGAGGAAAACACTTTTTTCTAAATTTTTGAACTATGGGCGAACTGTGGGCCAAGCATGGCGGAGTATTGGAGGCGAGAAAAACACTTTTCTCAAAATTTTTGAACTATGGGCGAACAATGGGCCAAGTATGGCAAAGTATGGGAGGGGAGGAAAACACTTTTGTCTAAATTTTTGAACTATGGGCGAACTATGGGCCAAGTATGGCGGAGTATTGGAGGCGAGAAAAACACGTTTTTCAAAATTTTTGGACTATAGGCGAACTATGGGCCAAGTATGGCAAAGTATGGGAGGGGAGGAAAACACTTTTTTCCAATTTTTTGAACTATGGGCGAACTATGGGCCAAGTATGGCGGAGTATGGGAGGCGAGAAAAACACGTTTTTCAAAATTTTTGGACTATGGGCGAACTATGGGCCAAGTATGGCGGAGTATGGGAGGCGAGAAAAATACTTTTCTCAAAATTTTTTAACTATGGGCGAACTATGGGCCAAGTATGGCGGAGTATAGGAGGCGAGAAAAACACTTTTCTCAAAATTTTTGAACTGTGGGCGAACTATGGGCCAAGTATGGCGGAGTATGGGAGGCGAGAAAAACACTTTTCTCAAAATTTTTGAACTATGGACCAAGTATGGCAAAGTATGGGAGGGGAGGAAAACACTTTTTTCAAAATTTTTGGACTATGGTCGAACTATGGGCCATGTATGGCAAAGTATTGGAGGCGAAAAAAACACTTTGTTCAAAATTTTTGAACTATCTGCGAACTTGTTTTTCCCCTTGATCTTATTGACCTTTAGGTCAAAAGTGATATAAAATTTGATAAAAAATTTAATGTTATGTTCGTCTCTAACTATAGGTAAAAAATTACCTTAAATTTCTAAATCTACTTACCTGGATAGATTTATAGAAAAGTGCTCTTTGAAATTTTCATGTGAATTCTTATTGGCAATTGTCGAAAGGTTATTGAAAAGAGAAATTTCAATATAATTATGTAAAAAACAAATACTTTTTACAAAAAAAGGAAAAAACTTCTAATGAAAATCGAAATTCTAACGGAATTTCTAATTAGCACGTTCCATTGAATCTTTCCACTTGTGATAATAATGATAATTATCAAAAAATTTCTTTTTATAGCTTACGTTCAGTGAAAGAAGAAAGGGGATGTAAGTTTCACGAGGGAGGAGTGGACAACCGTCATTAATAACCTCATACAAACGTTGCGCCACCCCAAAATTAAGAAAAATTCATTATATTTTTTTCAAATTAATTAAATTAAAGAAATTAAAATTTATTAAAATTAATTGTTATTATTAATTATTGTTACTATTCATTATAACTTCAATAAAAAATCAATATAATTATTAGAGGCACGAGACATTTTTTATTTAATCGTCATTATAAATTGAAACCAGATTAATTTTGTTAATCAAATTTTTATTAAAAATAATTAACATTTTTCTAACTTAAAAAAATATATTATCAATATATTAATATTTTCTTTAATGAAAGGAAATTTATTTGTAACATTATTTTTGTTTAGTATTTTCTTGTGTTTAATTTCGTTTATTGTTCTTTTTTTATTTATTTCTGAAATTAACTTCTTTAAATCTATTAATGTTTATTAAATTTTTTTCATATTTTATATATTAAGCCAAATTAATTTTCTATCCAACAATTTTCAATTAAACAAATATTTTTCTTCTTCAAAATCTTGTCTTGTTACCATTAACACCGAAATGCTTCGTATCAAATTCTTCGACCAAATTCTTTAAGTGAGTCAATTTTCCATGCAAATAATCGTGTCTCGTGTTACGTTGCTTGAAGACCGGATCGTTATTCATATTGTAATCTTTAAAAATTTTTATTTTTATCTGAAATGTAAAAAATTTTGTAATATACTTTTTGAGAATTAAAATTCAATTGGGAGAAACAAAATTCATAAATCTGTAATAATTTACAAAGAAATCTACAATTTTTCATTGTCTTTTAAATTAGTTTTGAAACGAAGGTAAATCTGTTAACTTTAAATAATTCCCGAAGTTTGAATTTTTTTCATCTTTTTTAAGAATCCAATACCGTTAAAAATCGAAAAAAATCAAGAAAATTTATATAAAATGTTTTTGTGCATCAAACACAAATTTTACGTTTTTTTCTGCTTGTAAGTTCTTATAAATTATAAGTAAGCTCTAAAAGATGAATTAGAAATTGAGTGATTTTACAAAAATTATTTCCATGAATTATCAAATTTTACTAATAAATATCCGACAAGGACTCTGGGGGAAATATAAATTGGCTCAAACAAAATATAAAAAATATTTTACTTTATCTATTTAGCAAAAAATATTTCAAACAATTACCTTGAGTTCTTGAAAATTCCCCTGAGCTTTCACTATATTATATTGCTGCTGCCACTTATAATATCGACTTTTACTGTTAACGTATTTTTATAATTGTTTATATTCCGGACAAAGATTGTTGAATTCCTCTTTATAATGTCTCCTCTGTTCGTAGTTGCTGTCTTTCGTATAATAACTAAAAATTCAAAACACAAAATTGTCGTTATAAATCTGATTTCCGTAAATCGACGAGTAAAAACCGAAGAAAAAATAAAATGAGAGGAAAAAGAAATCTTAAAATCGAAAAGAAAAAAGCCTGTTTTTAACAAAATTGTCTAAATCACAGTTTTACTGTAAAAGACAAATAATTAAAAATTAGTGATAAAAAATAATTATTTCAGTATGTAAACAAAGTTCCACATTTAATTGACGGGGAAAATACTGAAATCATAAGAGAATTATTGGTTTTATTTTCCAAATATAAAAACATCATTTGTGTTATTGTTTACATTTTTCTAACCTACATGTTGTTTGAAAGTGTTACTCACCTGCAATTGATTGCATAATCCTTTTATCAATCACTTTAACATTTAATTCCCGAACACATTTAATTATTTTAACACTCGGAATTATTTCTAAAACATTGAAGAATTTACAAAAGCCGCTATCGAAAAAACCAACCGATCAAAACAAACTTTTCTAGTGATGACCATTGATGACACCTGATCATTTGGCAGATCTGTCGGCAAAGAGTACGAAAATACAAGACTAACCGCAAATATTCATTTTCTAGCAGCAACTTCAAGTGGAAGGCATTTGTACGTTTTACTGTACAAGTAAATGAATGGTCAGACAAGTGAGGCAAGCAATGAATATAATCAAGAAATGCAATACAAAGCTAATTTATAATTTCAAAAATGAGTTGTTTGTAGAAAATGTTATTTTATATAAAGAATATATTTTTACTTTATTATAAAACATAATATATTATTTTTTTAAAGTTATTTTTAATTTTTAAATCTTTTTCTCAAAGTAATTTATATTACTTCATATCTATTTTTAAATAGTGAATAATTTTTTTCGAATCTTTTTTTTTTTTGAAAAATCGAAAAATGTAAAATTTATTTTCGTAATTGTTTCAGCCAATTGGAATGCACTTGAAGAAATACGAATGGGTGGGCTCGCCTGACGTTGGCGATTGCTCACTGTTGGTGAGATCAGCAACTTTAGAATTTGATGATGGTTTATGGCAATGCCAGGTCACGGCCAGTGATTTCACTGCACAAGATGCTTTAGCATCTGAACCAGCGAGGCTCGTTGTACGAGGTAAAACTTCCTGAATTTTTATTTTCTAAAATTTTTTTTAAAAATTCGATATTTATTATAAATATAATTATTATTTTAATTATTAACTTTTTATATTACTGTTTAAATAATTTAACTCTTGATCTTAGTAACCTAATATAATTTTTTGAGACATCTTATTTTATATATAAAATAAAATTTTTGTGAAAAACAAAAATCAAATCATAAAAATGAAGAATAATAATAACAAAGGTAGAATTTTGTTATTCAAGAATTTTTGTCTATCTGGCAAATATACTTTGGCTTATCTACTCATGAAGTTGGGGGGATCTTATTCATAACCATAATCCTGAAAAATTCAATTTCAAGTTTGGTTAGTTTCCAAATAGCGAGTAATAAGAGGAAATTTAAAATGTTCTCATTTATCTTTAACGATGACACTTAAAGGAAATTGACATTTAATGTTATCAAACGTTTCTTAATTATTGTCAATTTTAGTTATTGTTTTATTTTTTATTAAAATATAAAACTTGTAATTTTAAGTAAACTAAATTTTTAATTTTAAAAATTCAAAAAAAAATTCAGATGTTTATTAAATGAATTGTAAAGCAATATTGTATTTTTTTTTACGGAGAGAATATTTTTTTTTTTTTTTTTTTTTTCAAAGTGTTGAAATTATACATATATGGAAAATGGGTTTTTCGAGTGGGGTATGAGTAAAAGGGGATCGATATAAATGTTCTGCGTCAACAAATATCACGCGTAAACCGAAGAGCAGAAACGAGAGCTTACGAATTAATCTTTGCTAATTGTCTCATTCCAGTGAGCCCTCAGCGACCACAGATAGAGTACGCCGATAAACTAATTCTACCGGGTAGCAACGTGACAGCCCGTGCAGGTGAGACCGCCACGCTCAAGTGCACTGCACGCTATGGGAATCCTTCGCCTCTAATTAAATGGTTCGTATATAAAAGTTGCATATATATGTTGATTTTCAAAAACATTTAATAACAAATAATTTAACATTATTCTCCCCTCTCAATTTTTTATAGACAAAAATTTATTATTTTTCTCCCAGTGAAATTTTCCCGAAAAAAAAATTTAATTAAACCTAAAAATTACAGAATAAAGCGAATTTCAATTTATTATATTGTAATTTTTTTTTAAACTTACATAACTTTTTTTTTAGTTTTTAATTCAAATGGATATAAAAAAAATTTTTTTTTTTTTTTTGTTTGAAATCATAAAATGCATTTTATGAATGTTTTATATATGCTTCACTATAGGTACTGATGTAAAGTAAAAAAAAAATCCTTTTGCTAAAATAAGAGAGTTTGTCGTTGGCACGGCATTTTATATTCTATGAATAACCATGATTCATCTGAGATCTTTCAAACATATATGGAGAGAAAAAAAAAGTTTTTTCCCTGAAAAAAAAGGAAAAAGCATATCTACCATATATTGATGCAATTTAAACAAAAAGCAAGAGATTTTCGATTAAAAACCAAAATTTTTTTCTTTTTATTAATATATATTTTTACATTGAACTTTAAAAAATATTCTTTGAATCGCATTAATATGAAAATTTTAATTATAATGTTTGAATATAAAAAAGGAGTAAAATTAGTTTTCCGCAGTGGGAAAACACTTTTTGATCTTTTCCATCTGAATATACATATTTGTTTGTAAGGCAAAATTTTCTCATATGTTAAATTATTTTTCTTGCTGTGCTTAATACTAATAGTTTTTTCTATATAAATCCAAAAAGATATTATATATTAGTAGGGACTATAATATTTTTACTTTTGTCAAAAGGAAAATCTTTTTGAAGTATTAAAACCATTTTTGTGGAATTTTTAATTATAGTGTAGATAATTTATCAAACTGAGAAAAGTTAAAAGAAAAAATTTTTTTCGAAATATATATGTAGAAAGTGAGAGGGATTAACTCCGAAGAGCAGAAATAATTAATTGGAAGCTGTAGGCGAGAAATTACGAAATCAGTTTAATATTATCTTGTTCGGTTCTAAAGCCAAAACACCAGCTGAAATGGCAAACTTGAAATTATCTTGAAGCCTTTAAAGACACATAACATGAAACCACTGAAGCCACACACAGTTACAAATTCCTTCGTGAGAAGCATCTCCTTCCTCCTACAAACCATCTTTACTGGGAATTACCTTGACTAACTTACAGTATAATTTTACACATACACACACACGTGGATGTGTATTAGAGAAACATGTTAGTATAATTACTCAACAGTTTCTATACCTATAAAATGGTTTTCTATTCACCAAAGATAAATTTAACTTTTAAACATTTTAAAATTTATTTTATTATTGAAAAAAAAACAATGAGGTTGAATATATAAAAAATGAATTTTCTATAAATTATCAAAACGAGAAATATATTTAAAAATAAATGTAATAATTTACAAATAAATGTTTGTTTTTTATTTTAAATGAAAAATTCTTGGAAAATTAATTTTATAAAAAAATTACCAAGTCTAGTATTAAATTTTCTTGAAATTTTCATGAGAATTAAGTGCGAGAGACGAAAATTTCTTTTTAAATGCCTCGTTTCCTTAGACCCAAAGATCAAATGGATAAACTGAATACTACTGTGTGTGTGTATATACATATATAAGAAAAGGTAACCTGAACTCGAAATCGTTGGACTTCATGAAAGGAAATAAGAAAAAAAGAAAGAAAGGAAGAAAAGCCGTGGGAAGGAAACCAAGTAAAGCTAAAAAGCGTAAAATAAAAGGAAAAAAAAAGAAAAACCCCCTACCCCTCAAGCAGAAAAGGAAGAAAACAGAAAACACAAAGCCAGTAATGCTTTCGGGAATACTTTAGCACAAGGACTTAGAAGTCGTTGCTATAACAAGCTAAGCACTTACATTCTACCGAAATAAGATTGTTTTCAAACCATAGTCGCTTGGGTTTAAAGCAGATTAAATCCGATTACAAAAAAATGTTAATTAAAAACATTATTTGTTTTTCAAAGCAAAGTAAAATAATACAATATATAAAAATAAAATACATTCACGCATAGAATTTCAACTGTTTAAATTCTATATATACTCTCTGTAAAGTATTTTGAAAAGAATTTTGAATTTTCATTTAATTAGTTTACTAAAACTTTTGAAAATGCAAATTAATTCTACATTTGGAATAATCAAAATTTTTTGTGAAAAGAATTTTTAAACTAACTTTTGAAAACGTAATTAAATATACTGCTTTTAGAGAACGTTTAAAAAACAAATTTTTATTTGAATTAAATAAACTGTATTTGAACCAATAATTTCTGTATTTGAAAAAAAATACTATTTAATTGATTCAAATAATTATTTAATACAATTAAATATTTATTTGATAATTTACACTGCAAAAAGAAGTATCTTATAAGATACATTAGAAGCAAGTTACCAAAAGTATCTTCCTATCCATCTTATATCTTAAGAAACTAATGCATTTTTAGTTGTTTTAGATAACTTAGAAGCAAGTTATAAAAAACATCTTAAAAAGGCGACCAAAACATCTTAAAATAAGATACTTCTTTTTGCAATGTAGTTATTTTTAACTAAACCGATTATTTGAATCAAGTAAATTTCGAGTCTACTATTTTTAATAGTTTTTACTAGACAATAGTTAAAACAGAAAGAAAACTAAGTTAATTGAAATGTAAAACATTGTAAATATACTACGTCAACAGTTAAATATTTACCAGGGATTTTAAAATGCCGTAATTGAATATCGTTTTCAGGAGTACAAGTAAATTTATAATCAGACAATTAGTGTTAAATGAAAATAAAAAAAAAAAAAGAAATTTTTATTAAACAGAAAATAAATTATCAAAGAAAATGATTTTTTTTTGTTAATCAAAAAAAAAACATGTTTCTATGACAAACTCATTTTTATTATTATAATAATATAATAATAATTTTATTATAATCAGACAATTAGTGTTAAATGACAATAAAAAAAAGAAATTTTTATTAAACAGAAAATAAATTATCAAAGAAAATGATTTTTTTTGTTAATCAAAAAAAACATGTTTCTATGACAAACTCATTTTTATCCATAAGGCAATTATAGATCATTGAATTCCATTATACAAAGTAAAGAGATATTTGAATTTTGAAAACCGCTACAATTGGAAATTGAATTCTCATATATGGAATTGTTAATATATGATGTGCTCTATTGGTAAATGCAAATTTGAATGCTCGCAGGTATTTGGGTGAGAAGGAGCAGAGACCAAGTTCTCCTCAGGTCAATTCAACAGAGAGTGATAATCCCCGCACTTGGGCTACATACAGTGTTTGCAAGATTTTGGCTGAACGATCACGTTACGGACAACCAATACGCTGTGTCGCCATACATCCGGCATATACAAATCCAAGCATGTCGTCCAGTTCGGAGGTGCGATTTGACGTTCGATGTGAGTATCCTATATACTGACCCTTTCTCACCCATCCCCTCCCCCCTTTTGCACTAATTACGCACATTGCAATATAGCTTGAATTCCAGTATATAAGCAAAGCTGGAATGCTTGTGTCCTAACTAACTTAAAGGGATTATATGCCCCCTGTGAAATTAACTGCCTCTAATTTACAGTGAAACACTAATATAAGCATAGGGCCATTAATAACAATTGTGATAATAATAATAATAATTATAATAATCTCTATTTATTATTTATGAAAACATTTTGCCGAGTTGTTGAAAGTAATTTTTAACTGAAATTACTTGATTTGAATTTATTTTATTTTCACTATTATATTGAAACTATTTTTACTAATTAAACTTGATACAAGTTTGGATTGTCTGACTGAAAACGTATTATACTACTGTGATAAAAATTTAAGGATTTTTATACAAGCCATTGGACATTTACTACTAACATTACGTTTATAGCAATTTAAAAAATTATGTCTGACTAAACTTGTATTTTACTACTTAAGTTAAATACAAAATCAAGTCAAACTCTAAACTGATTTTTACTAATTTGACTGTAATTCAAATTAGTTAAAAAAATTTACATATTCAAATTTGTTGAGTAAGGTGTTTGTCTGACTAAAACTCACTTTTACTACTAAGATTTAAATTTGAAGAATTTTCTATATTTTAACTTTACATACGCCGATCATTACGAATATATAAATTTAATATTATTTTTGTCTTATTAAAACTGACTTTTACTACTCAGACTAAAATTACTTGAATCTAAAAGATACTAAAAAATATATAATATAAATAAGTAAATCAAATAAATTAAAAAAGTAACAAAATAAATGTAATTAATTAAATTCTTAATTGATTGTCTAACTGAAATTGTGTATACTAGTATGACAAAAATACAAGTTTAATATATTCTGTCTGACTATAATTGTATTTTACTACTTAGACTGAAATTGAAAAAGTACAAAAAATATTTTATCCTATTGTAACTAATTGAGCTACTGTTACTATAATTATTTTGCATTTTAATATGTATGACTAAAATTAAAAATAATTGTATTTCAAACTGTTTGTCTGACTAAAATGATATTTTACTACTTAAATTTAAAAATTTACAGAAGTAAAAATATTTTTTAATTAAAAACAACTTTTGATACTGTCACTACAAATTAATTAAATTTTTTAAAGTTTGTCTGACTAAAACTAAAAACAATTGAATTTCAAGTGGTTTGTCTGATTAAAAAAGTGCAATACTACTTAAATTTAAAAAATTACAGGGGTAGTAAAAATGTTGTTTGATAAAAAATAACTTTTCCTACTGTCACTGTAAATAATTAAATTTAAAAAATTAATAACAATAATTAATAATAATAATAATAATAATAATAATTAATAATAATTATTAATAATTAATAATAATTAATAATTAAATTTTTTTAATTTAATTTTTTATTTTTTATTTAATTTAATTTTTTTTTAAATTTATTTAATTTTAGTCAGTGTGTCTGACTAAAATTGTGTTTTACTATTGAAACTGAAATTTCAAATATTTAATATTTTGGACTGATAAATACTGACTATTACTACTGGCATTAAGAATATATCAAATTAATACACTATCTGTCTGACTAAAATTGTATTTTCTACTTGGAACGAAATTGCAATGATGTCTGACCAATACTGACTTTTACTACTGTGACTATAATTATTTGAATTTTTAAGCATTTTGTCCGACTTAAACTGTCTTTTACTACTTTTTATTTATTTATAAACGGCATTGAAAAAATCAGAATAATAATAAAATGAAAAAGTTCAAAATGTCTGACAATAACTTATTGTTACTACTTAAAACGAAATAATGAGAAAAGAACCTGTTTCTTATAATCTTAATTTTGAAATTTGAAGAAATCTTTGACATTCAAAGTAAAGAGTGAATAAAACTAATTTCCCTGCGACAAAGAATAAGACAAGAAAAGTCAGAAAGGGTTTTTTTTCTATATATATGTATGCTTGAAAAATGCATAAAGAGTGGAAATATTCATGAGAACTAATTTTTGTACAACTGAAAAAGCTTTTCGTCGCTTTTGTATGAACAATTCGCTATATATATACTTTTCAAGTATATGCAATATACTTTATTTGACATTCTCTTTTTATCTTTCTTGGCACAATAGCACACATTCTATACTATTTCTCCTTTATCACTGTAACCTTCTAATAAGGGTACTTTTTACTTTCATTTGTCCGTTTTACTATTTTGCCTGACATACGAGAAAATAAATAAAAGAAAAAAAAATTAGAGAAAATTTCTTCTCTTCTTATATAATATATTTGCGACACTTTTTTCTCTCTCTCTCAAAAAAAATAGCGAAACAATTAATCTTTCTCTTAAAGTATTTCTCATTTAATTAGATAAATTCTATAATTAATTTCCCATTTCAATTGTTCACGTTTCTAATTAAAACTTGTATGCGAATATACATATATATATACAGACGTTAATTATAGCGTTTAATATACACTTTTAACCTAATTTACCAAATTTTTTCAATTTCTAATTTTTAAATAATAATTATAGAACCATTTTGAAATGATTTTATCCAGATTACAAAATGCGTTTTCCTATATATATATATATATATATATATATATATATATATATATATATATATATATATATAATTCTATATTAATAGAATTTGATTTCAATGTATTTTCCATTATTGTTGAAATGTATATATAAAGCTTGCGGATTATTCTCATGGTTGATTAATTATTAATTTTGTATATATTTGATGAAGCATTTCCTATGAAACACCTAATTATTATATTATGAATTGTGTAACTTATTTAATTTTTAAATTATTATTAGAGAAAAAAAAATGAAAAAAAAATTTAATTTTTAAACGTAATTTACAATATCAATTTAATTTTCACAATTTTTAAATAAACGATTGTCTAAACATTGTTAGTTGAATTTATATCAAATCAATGTCAATGGTGAACTCGATGAATGCTAATCCTTGCGGTGAAATAGTTTGAAGATTAATTAATTCTATTATAACATGAATAACTGAAATGTTCTCTCTCTCTCTCTCTCTCTCTTTCTCTTTTTCTCTTTCTACTAAGAGGATTTTCTCCTTTTCTTCTTTCACTTCTCAATTAAACTGAATTCATTAATTTAATTTAATCTAAAGTTTCATTAACTTAGAAATTTAGCCAAAATTAGAGTCTTTATTTATTCAGGACTTTATATTAGTTTAAATTAACAAAAAAATGAAAAATTAGATAAATTATTTGATAATTAATTTCGAAGTAAATCTGAAAATTTTAAATTAAAATTAAAAATTATTTTAAAATATTATGCTTGATTGGCAGGAAATAAATTAAATTTATTACAGTTATTAATTTAAATGTTAGAATTCTAGTAAATATTTCAATATTTAATTACATTTATTATAAGATTAAAAGATTGTATTTGTGTAATTAATATATATATTTATTCATGTAATTATATTATACAGTTTTGTTTTTAATTAACAAATCTAATCAAAAGCACGCGTATTGGAAAATAATATAACTTTAGACGCGCGCGCGCGCGTATTATATGGGTGGAAAGTTTATCATCAAAGGCTTTCGCGGAGTCAGAAAATGAAAACTATACATTCTCTGTATATAGTTGGAAACTCGCCTCTGAAAACAAACAGAACCATTTATTTTCTTTGAACGTGGTCCTGACATTCTCTAGGCGGTGTAACGAGACGCAAAGCGTAAATACTCTACCAGTATCGATTACGGGTATTAAACGCGAACGTAAATTGAAAATCTGTGTTGCCTCGAGCCTCGATAGTTAACAAATTCTAAAAGAAGTCAAATGGACTTCGCGCAAAGCATAAAGATTATATCCCAACAGAGAAAAGTTTCAAAAACAATGTGAAGGGAAATCAATTTTTTCTTTATCAAAAAAAAAAATAACTGATAAATAAATATTCAATAAATGTTCATTCAATAATAATGAAAATATATTTCGCGGTTATTTGAAAATTTATTCTTTTTGTATTTTTAATTTAACAAAAAAATTTAATTTTTGTTTATTACAAATTTTTTATATAAAAATATTTTATATAAATTTTCTTTTTAAAAATCAGAGAATATATAATTTTGGCTTCGTTCCAAATTCAGAAATTATTGTTAATAGGTCAGAATTTTCAGTGTTTTAATTATAATTAATTACAATGTATAACATTGAAAATAAGTAATAATAATTATTTTTTAATTGATTTAAAAATATAAATATAGAACAAATATTCTATATAGTTTATATATTGAAGAAAAATTTAATTGTTTTGCATTGCCTTTGAAGTTTTTTGATTCTTTGTCGTATAATTTATTTTCCATCGTTATATAATGAAAGAAGAAGCGATAAAAGCTTTTGTAACGATTAACGTTCTTTTATTATTAAAATATGCCTTCTGCATCAACAGTATAGCTTTTGTCAAGTTTTACGCTTCTCTTTTCATTCTCTTTTGATAACTTTCTAAAAGTTTTACACAAAACTTACATTTTAAATTTTAACCTAAGCAAATAAAAATATAATTTAATAATTAGATTTAAAAAACTAAAGTGATTGTAATAAATAATGGAAATAAAAATTAAAACTCAAAAATTACAAAGTAATTATATTAGAAAAATAATAACAGTTAATAAAAAAAATAATTATATTTAGAATTTTTTTAGAAAAAAAAGTAAATAAGAAAAAATTCTGCACTTTAAATTCCAACTCATGTCTGACCATAACGTACCATTATCACTGAATCATCAAATATTCATAGATATTTGTGTGGTTACCATAAAAATTCAGAAATCCCAGATTTTTCTCCTCTTCTGTCGAATTGGGTCGTTGGCGAATTTTTTATTGCATCGAAGCTATCAAATTTTTAAATTCGAAATATAGAAAAGATATTCGAAGGGATTTCTAAAATGGAATGAGAATGATAAAAAAAAAAAGAAAGAAAAATTATGAATCAAATTATTAAATTCTCTTAAAAAATTTTTAACATCTATGAACACATTATAAAAATATAAAAATAAATATACAAAATTGTATGAAATTTCACATCAAATCAAATATGAGAATTAATGTGATAAGAATTTTGAATTTAGAACTCTAAATAATATATATGACCCCATTAAGCCTAATTCCCAAATGGAGAGAAAATTGTGAAATATTTAAATGAGACGTAAAATATCATTTATGTAACTCTCATGTGAGTATGAATCTGGAAACAAATATAAAGTCATAATGCATATATATATATACATATAGGTGGCTTTTACCCCCATGAGGTTGAGTGAATTCGTAACATCGGCAAACTGTCGCTTCACGCACATGACTTGCATTCCCGTTGGGAATAAAAACTCTCGGCGCAACTCGGTCGTACACCAATTAATTTCTTTCGTCGAATCGAGCGATACGCTGCTAGCGAAAGAGGATCGTTTTGAGGAGGGAAAAATGGAGGGGAGGGGGGGACGAATAGAGGTAAATGTGGAAGATGAAAAAGTCGGTGGAAAGCTGAATCAAATCATGATTTCCACTTGCCCGAATAGTTCGCGCAGGCTATTCATTTCACGTAACAATGATTTCAAAATATACGCGCGAACGAACACCCACTGACCCATTCACAAATTTCATACTGAATTCTCTATTAACTGAATCTATCGTATGCGATCATTGACCAAAGTGACTGGCACTGAGAATCTAGATATTTGAATAAACACATTTTTTTCCCCCTTTTTTTGGAATTTTTTTTCTATATGACAAAAATTTAAAATTCAAAATAGGAACAATTTTCTCAGAATGAAGAGAAATATTCTATAATTATTTTATTAAAATTTTTAATTAAAAATTATTTAATTAAAATGAGAAAATTATTTAATTAATATAATTACAAATTATTTCAGCGATTATTAAAAAAGAATTCTAATTCTTTACATTTAAAAAATATGATATGCCAAAAAGGGGAAATATTTCGCTTTTCTTTAACTGTTTAATGGAGCGGAAACAGGGGGAAAAAATATCATCATCAGATGAAGTGAAGAATTGGAAGCTTATAATTCAATTGCCGATAATTTATATTTTCTTTAAAGCGCTTTCATTTCAATGGCTCTTGACTTTATCTTAAAAGATTGACGGCGATTTACACAAAAAACAATTCTCTACAGACTTTGTTAAATTTTCAAATCTGATAGTAAAAAAAAAAATTAAATAACTGATTTCTATTAAATAGTTAACTTTTATAATTTCAATAAATTGAAAATGTCATTTACAATTAGAGAAATATTAGGTGCTAAAATAATTAATTTTCTTGAAAAAAAAAGTTTAATCAACTAACGAAATCAGTAATGAAACTAATTATATATACGTATAATAATTGAATTTCTATTTTCAAAGTTCATCGATAAGATCTTTTTTTTCATCCAGCTTTCATAGACTGGAAAGTTTCAAACTAAACCTCTTTGGCTTCTTCAACTTTGGCATTAAAAAAGTTTTTTCTCAACTCAAATTGCAGATGCACGCACAGCCTTGAATATTTATTTTCTTTGGAAAACTTTTAAAAAAATTTTATTTAATTTTTATCGTTCAACGAATAAAACTTGAATATTATGTGCTCATAGTTTGTTATTTTCATTTTTGAAACATATAGAATTATAGAGGAGAAATTTATATATAAATATATTGTTCCGATTAAATTTAATAAAAATAAAGTTAATATTTTTCATTTTGTGACAGACGCTCCGGAAACTCGTTTGGAAGGAGTTCCATTTGGTCAACTGGAAGAGGGTCGAGACCAATTGGAAATCAGGTGTTTGGCTGATGCCAATCCACCTGCTTCAATACTTTGGAAACGTACGAAAGGGCAAACTTTACCGGAAGTCGCTGGCATTGGTGAGGCTCTTTCCTTTTCTCCAATTTATCGAGATCACGCCGCTGTTTACATTTGCGAGGCGTCCAACACTGAAGGCGAAAGCAGTCCAGTCTCAGTTCAAATATCCGTCAACTGTAAGAACAATTTTCAATTTTACAAAATGTTAAATATTTATTTCAAATTTTGCTTTTAATTTTTAAATAAAAAATTACTATTTTATTGTTTTTTAATTTTCAAAATCGATATGTAATTGACGAAAGAAAATTTGCAGTAAAATAATTTGATGGCGAAAGATATTTTCATTTAACGAAATTGAGATACATTGGTCGTATGTTGTGAAAGCGGGAATTTTCCGATGAAGCTTTCAATCAATAGTAGAGCATTTGATTGATTGCTAACACACTGATTCTTGTAATCAAGTAAAGAGCATCCCATGATTTGCACCAGGAATAAAGCAATCATTTTCATTTTCCTGCAGACTCACCAAGAATCAGTTCAGTTGGTCCTGACAAACGAAAAACAGCTCTACTTTACTCGGCAGCTTCTTTTGAATGTCATGCTGATGCCATGCCACCTGCGGAATACAGGTAAATGATTAAAACAATTTTAATTACATTTTGAATTTATTTTCATTTTTATTAGTTTAATTTAATTTATGAAAATTAATTTTGATTCAATTTAATTTTTGCTAAATTCATTGAATTGAATTGAATTTTAATTATTGAAGATAAAAATTAAAATTAAAAAAAAAAATTAAAAGGTTTTTTTTGGAAAATATTACTTTAAATAATACACATTCAGGTGGGAACAAATATTTTCCGATGGTCGCTTGCCTGTGGCGTGTGGAACTGGTCATCGTTTGGTTTTAACGAACGTCACCTACGATCAACAGGGTGAATACATTTGTTTAGCCGCCAATAAGATAAACGGAAATGTCAGAGAAGTCCAAAGTGATTCTGTTTCACTGCAGGTCGTTGGCGCTCCAAAGGTAAAACTTTTTCCTTTTATTTAAACACTCTCTGAGTATATAAAACGGGAAAATACTTCATCCAAAAAAAAAAAATTATAATTTTCTTTCTGAAAAGAAAAAAGAAATCATAAATTGTTCATTTAATAAATTGAAATGCAAAAAAAAAATTAATTTAAAAAAAAGAAACATTTTTCAAAATTGATTGCACAAAATTCCAATTTAATTTCAGAGAATTTTTGTCATAAAAAGAGGGAGAAAAATGAAATAACTAGAATTGGAGTATTGTCCAGTTATTTGTCAGAGCGAGATTTAAATTATAACCCCCTTTCATACGTTACAATGCAGGAAAATTGAAAGTCATCATGAATACATTCCCCAGTTGTGTAGTCGGGAGCGAGTTTGAAATTAGAGCGTAAAATGTAAAAGCAACCTGAAACTCTGACGCTGACATTGAATCGGTAAATCAGTTTAACGCAATATTAGTTTCGTGTTTGTAGGTGATGAAACCAGCGAGTCAGGAGAAGTTCCTTGTGTCGACGACAGAAGGTAGTCCAGCACGTTTGGAAATCACACTTTGTTCTAATCCCAGACCACGTCTCGTCGCCTGGGAATGGGGTAGCACCCGCCTTCACGCTGGTTAGAGCTCAATCCAGTATTCCAGTTTGGTTTAAATTTCCATTTTAGTACGTTTGAATAACCATTGGCCCTTCGTTTTTTTTTTTTTTTGTTTTGTTTTTTCTTCACTTTTAGTTTCGTATTTTTCTTTCTTATTCCTTTACGGGTTTCGTTGACAAAAAAATGTCTCCAAAACAACCTGAAAGCAAAAAAGATGATTCAAATTTTGTTTAAAAAAGAGGTACTAAAAAAACTAAATTATTTATGTCCATTTATTATTTAAATTGATTTTCAAATGAAATTCTATAAAAAGAGAATTTATACATTTTACCAGCACCTTGAAAATTGTTCTAAGTTTTAAAAATTTTTTCACGATTGTTATCTTTAATCCTCTTGAACTAAAAATTTTCTCCATCCATATATATATATATATATATACATATAAACTAACAATGTTTGAGAGAACATTTCAATGACGAGGACTTTGCTCCACTTACTTTTTCATTCTTATATAGCACACAAGTCAGAAAGAATATTTAAAGTTTGAAAAACTTTTAAAGATCACAGACCATTCAAGAACGTAAATTCAATTTGCAAAGCAGAGAATATATCTTCTTTTTTTTTCTCTTCATTATATTATATCTGACAAATCTTCAACCTTTGACTTGAAACTTATAAAAAATTTCAAAAAAAATAGTTGGATGAAGAAAATTGACGAAAAAAAATGGGAATTTTTTAAAGATTTTTTTTTTATTCCTTCTATAAAAGAGAGTATTAAATTGAAATTGAAATACGTGCAGGTGAAGTTCTAGAACCACGTCATCGGGCCTTTGATCTGAAACCGCTGAATTCAGGCGATTGTTACTTAGCAATTCTAGAATTGAGGACTACCATTAGAGAAGATCAAAGATTATATCATGTGATTGTGGAAAATGATCGAGGAAGTGATCGTCGAGTTTTAATGCTGAGAGTAGATGAACCAGGACAGGTGAATTTTTTTACTTTCTTAATATAATTTCTATTTGTATAAATATTTTATACTAAATGTTGTTTAAAAATTTGAAAACTAATTAAAATACATTTTTTCAGATTCCCCTTGTTATTGGAGCTGTTGCTGGATTCACTGTTCTCTCAATATTGATAATGGGTTTCGTTTGTTTTATACGATCTGATAGATGCTGCGTTCCCAGAAATACTGTTCCCACTATGCAACAAGTTCATTGGTAATTAAAATCTCCACAATAAAAAAAAATCAATTTTTTTTTGTATAAAATACAATTTTTTATATTAGTGTGGAGAATTTTCAATTGATGTTAATTCTGATAAATTTTTTTCTTTTTCATAAAAATTTAATTTAAGTAATGATTTATTTTTTTTAGTACGAAAGCTTCGAATGCAATGATTGAAGATCCAAGATTAACAGTAGAAACAATGGAACGAGCTGCTCAGCAATATGTTTCGGAAAAGAGACAAAATCATATCTTAAAGTCTGTTCCATCTCAATATCATCAAGATATTTATCAACATGATCCACATCATCAGCAGCCTCATTATCAAAGGCATCATCATCATAGTCAATCTCATGGACCTCAATATGCCATCCAGGTCAGATAAAATTTTAATATATATATATATATATATATATTCAGCTTTTGAAATTAAAAAAGTAGGTATTTAATGTTATCATCGAACGATATAGAATGCAGCCTCAAAAATTGAGCTTTTTTTTCTCATCACATTTGCACCCCTGTTATTCTCTCCCCCTTCGCCCCATTCCCCCTCATGCACGATGAATGTCAAGAGCATATCCCTCTTACAGATTCCTTCATTTGAAAACAATGGCTCTTTTCAATATTGTTCTCCTCGACCTTTTTTTTTCTCCACTCGAACTTATCGTTTTCAAATCTCGAATTCACGACAGATTTACCATAAAGAAACGTTTTTAAAATCTAAATAAAAAGCGTAATTATAGTTATTTGAAAGAAATTAATTACAAGTTTGGCATTTCTCTTCTTTTCGACCTCTTTTTTGATTTTGAAAGTCAAGCCTTTTCATTGCAGCCACGCATACCACGGGATTCCAGAGTAAAAGATTGACTTATAAATACTTTGCAACCCATAAGACACTCACCAACGTCTGCATTTCAAGACTCGACAGCCACGTGCATGCTATAAAGTCCAAACGGTTGCAGAGAAAAACGATTAAGATGGATATTGAGAAGACGAACGAATCTTCACTTGAGAAAATTGTTCCTATAATATAAAAAAAAAAACATAGTAGTTTCTCTGCTGGAAAAGAGAGACACTTGATAAATATATACACGATTTATCGCAAGATTTTCCAATTATTGTTTCTTTTTTTTTTTTATTAATTCTTAAAAAAAACATTAAGATATTATTGTTGATAATAAAACATCTTTATCGTCTTTAAGATTCAAAAATCTTTAAGATTTAATTAAGTGCAAGTTGAAAAAAAAGAACAGAGTCAGTGCCTAATTCATATATAATTGACATTTAGTATCAGTTGCATGAATATTTGAAAGTGAACATAGACATCGAGATTTAAAAAAGCATTTCATTGTAGAATCCTACTTATTATAGAGTCAAATAAAATATTGTCTCTTTTTCCATAGAGATAACAAAAATTTAAAAAAAAAACTTATTGGAAAAAAATCCTACAGTAGTGAATCATCTCCGTAACAAATGCATTTTACACTGCTACCTGCAACGCAGTATAGATTTGAAAAACAAATTGCACTCCAGCAGAAACGTAATCTTCGCAGGAATTTTTTTTTTGAAACTGAGATGCAAAAATCTATTTTAATATATTTCTTAATTGTTGTTTATTATGATAAACAAATAAACTTAAAAAAAAAAAGAAAAAAATTTTGATCCACATTTGGTAATTAAAAAAAACCTGCGGAGTCTTACGGAAATTAAAATTTGTAAATAAGGTAATTTCCTTTTCAAAAAAAAATTACGTGTCTGCTGTATTTTTAATTGTAGAACGATTATCCAATTTTGTACATACCTGATTGTCATGAAATTTGTTACGTTTGCACTGCCGTTAAAAAGCACACGAAACCTTCCTCTACACCTTCATAGTTGTCTAAAATGCTCCAAAAGATCTCTCAAAGACATCTGCGAATAAAATAATTAAAGGACATCGAAAGTTAATTAAAGATAACCGAAACTAATTATATCCTCTGAAATAATTAAAATAGTGAACATCAAGTATCAACTAACAAAGAAAAAAAAGCCAGTTTTCTCAAGAAATTTCTTAAAATATCAATTTTTTATCTCAAATATTCTTTCTTGTTCTTTATTTCAAAATTACATTTTAATGTATACTTTTAATTTTAATTTAGACGTGAAAGTCTAATAAAATTAAATATTTCATTCTAAAAATAAAAAATAATAATAAATGATAAACTTTATAAACAAAATTTTGAAAAATTGAATTTTAAATATTTATTCAGGATGTTTTTGAGATGTCATAAGTCCTAGAATGAAAAGAACGTTAGTTTAGATATAATAATAACTATCATGTTAAAAAAAAATTGTGAGAATTATTAGAGAGCAATTTTACTGGAAAAAATTGAATTTCACGTTCAAAACTCTTATTGTTAGTGATAATAATTGTGCAGGGGGAGCAGCTGTTTCTAAAACCTGAACGTTTAGCGACGCTGAAGCCTCATTGCAAGATCGACAAGCCACCACAATATACCACGTTTAAACCAAGCTCACGCGATTGAAGATATCTCTTTTATATTATGGACACAACTATAAAGCAGAGAGCCAATTTCAAGTCAATCTTCCGTTTTTCATTAAGTGACAATCCTGAATAATATTTTATAAAATAAAAAAAAAAAAGTAGATTCAAATATTTAAAAGAAAACACAATTTTATCAAATTTTACCAAAAAGGAACATTCTATTAATTAATATTATTTAACTTTACTTTTAAAAGCACAAAAGTCAAAATTTTCATTTATAAAACGGGAAAAATCAAAACTTAGTAATAAAGTGAAAAATGAATAATTTTACAAAGTTAGAAATATTCTTTTTCTTATTTATTGATCCTTTGATGATCAGAATGCCAGTGTAATTTATAAAAGTACAAAACTAGTAAATAACGTAAAAAATCGCGATGATGAAGACGTGTATATTTCAAATACACAAATTGTAAACAAAAAATCGTATATCAAATACGTGACTGGCGAATATATATATATATAAATATAAAAACAGATCTAATATTATTCCAGTCAAAATCAACATCCCTTCTAGGATTTTTTCCAATTCGTCAAACGATCAGAATTTTATTGATTGTTCGATTAATAATAATAGTTAATTACCAATTCAATGCGAGATCAAAAAGTGTAAATATAGTAAGAGCTTGATGATGAAAAAATGAAATATTAGTTAATTAAAGCATCTACGGTATAAATATTGTAAATAATTATGTACGTATCGTAATTGCGTATATATTATCAATGAGTACCGTCCAATTGCGACAAAAATAAACTAGTAATAATTGTTTATAATTTTCTCATCTCGAACAAACTATCATGATGGTAATTAGTAACTTAAAATTAATATTAAAAAACAAATAATACACCAAATAATTTACAGTACTTAAAGACTTTAAACTATTAAAAAAAAGACTGATTCGAATATTTTTTAAAAAAAAATAATTATTTATTATCAACGAGAAAATTCATGTTGGAAAATTTTCCAATTTTTAAAAGTAAAAAAATTTCACTTCACACATAATCAAAATAGCTATAAGTATCTTAATATTCATGAAAAAAAACAATATTTATAGCACATAATTCGAGATGTAAAATACTCCTTTTTGTACGTTTCAAAATATATATCTATAAATATAAAAAAATACGTATAATTGTGGCTTTTAGACGGTACTCCGATTTTCTTAAGCGAATCTCGCGTTTTCAACTGCCAAAAAGTGTGAAATATTATTAAAAAAAAAAAAAAATCTGTCAATGTATTAAAAATCAATACACAGCTTACAATTCAACAACTATGCTATGTGTATAAAACCTGAAATACAAAACTTCCCAATGAAGAACTGTAATTATTGTATCTGTAATTACATTATAAATAAAATGGTAATCAAAAAATGTCCTTTCGCCAATAAAACAAAAAACCCTGTTATTTAAGTTTGATGGTTTTTATATTTTTTACTCGAAAATTAGAAAAAATATAATTTATATGGATTATTAAAAGAAATCTTACGAAAAAATATTATATAACAAAATGTGTAATTTAAAAAAAAAATGATATTAAGAAATTAATGTTTGATATTAAAGGAATTAATAATTTAAATTAAACTATAAATTATAAAGTTGCATTCACTCTATAATAAAGGGAAAAAAAGGAAAGTTTATAATATTTTTTCGTAAGGATTAGTAATTACCGCATTCATTATAAATTGTTACAAAAAAAAAATAATATTTCTTGAAAATAATTTCTTACTTTTTATGTACATTGTTTTTTCTAGCAAACGGACAAATTTCCTTATTGAGACACTCGGTACATTTTGGTCTTTGTGGCGTGCAAACAGTTTGACCAAAACCAACAAGAAGATGATTAACATCGGCCCACAATTCTTTAGGAAGCCAAGATTCTAATTCTTTTCTCGTATCCTCGGGAGTTTTAGTTGTTTTTTTCGCCCATCCCAAACGATTTGTGATACGATGAACGTGAGTATCAACACCAATTCCAGATATTTTATCCCAAGCAACTTGCATACAAATATGAGCCATTTTAGGACCAACTCCCGGTAATTCACATAATTTCTCAACAGTCTCTGGTATATCACCATTGTATTGTTCCTTTAAAATTGTTGATGTTTTCTTTAAATATTCCACTTTACGCTGAAAATTGAGAATATTTTTTATTTTTAAAGTAAATTATTGAAAATAATTATTACAAGTGAAAAATTGATATACCTTCCAAAAGCTAACGGGATAAATGAGTTTTCCAAGCTCTTCATCAGATGCAGCAATAATTGAATCAGGAGTACAACCAAAATCTTTAAGTCTTTGCATTGCAGCGTGAGTAACTTGATCTTTTGTTTGACTACTTAACATTAATGCTAATAATGATTGATATCTAAAAATTGGTTTGCTTGCATCGGTATCGGCACATTTATGACAACCCATTTCATCAACCGGTGCAGATTCATCTTTTCTCATTTCTCTAATATTTTTTAAAAGTGCTTCCCAATTTTTTGGCATCCAATTCCCATTATTTTTGGAAGAAGGTTCATTTTCAATTTCTTTTACATCATCATCACATTTTATTTTAATTGGAGAACGTTTTTTTAATTTAGTTTTTACTATTTTAGAATGTTTTTCATCTTCATCATTGTTATCAAAAAATTGCGAAGTTTCCGATTGTAAATCATTTGATTTCTCTGGAGTTTTTCGCGTACGTAAAGATCTTGTCTTACTTAATGTTTCTAATTTTAATTTCTTGCTCATATTTTATAAGTATTCAACTTTTTATAATTAGTTTTTTCAATTTGATTTTAACTTTGTTTTGATAAACACATGTGACAGCTAACCTCAAAAACAATACTTTCTTTCACTCTAATTAGCAGCACCAAATAACTTTAAGTTTTTCTGATTTTTCTTTTTCACTTTAAGAGAAAATTAATTTATATTTTTAGTGTGATAATTTAATTGAATTAAATAAATTTATTGTTACTTAATTCTTTTTAATGCACAAAATAAAACCGTTTGTTTTGATTAGTGTTAGTTTCATAGTTTGTCCGCCATTTGAATATAGATGGCGCCACAATAATTTTTTTAAATTTGTGCGCGTTTAAACAGCCAATGAGCGTTATCTTTTTGGACAACTGTCTTGGAAATAATGGAAATGTGTCTTAATGATTTATTCTCGCGTAAATTTGAAAAGAGTCAACATGTCAGTATATAAAATAAACTATTTCAGTTACGTTGTATTTAAATAAAATTTTTAGCAATTAATAGTAAATTAATGACATTTAAAGTGAAAAACTATAATATATTGGAATCACAGCATATCAGTCTTAATGACAACAATTAAAACTAATGGAACTTTAAGGTTATGTTGACTTTTCTTCTGTACAGTGTTTTCGACATTTCCGCACGGATTATCATTAATTAAATTATATTATCAAGGAATAAGCATCAAATTCGGTGAGTAAATTACAAAAGTAAATATTTTTAAAGCAATTTATTAGCACTTATTTAACGTCCTATTTATAATAACCAAAAACAAAATTCGTGAGGTATGTTTTAACAACTGCTATAAAACAATCATATTATCCAGTAGCTAGTTTAATATTTTACAGGTGATAAATTTTATGAATGAAACAAAAATAGTTGTACATAATTTCTAAGTTCATTTTTGTACAAATATAATATATACCTATATATTTATTCAAAACAAAGAACAAAAAAAAAAATGTTTTATCGTGCACATAAAGCGAATCGCTGTCTTGAGAATTTTCTTATTAACAAGTAGAAGTGAAATATTGTGTAATTTTTTTATAGTATAATAAATTTTTGAAATATCGTTAAATCCTCATTACAATATTAAAGTAGTTTTTACTGGAAAAATTGTGATACTTCTTATAAATATTTGAAAATTTTGTTATATAGATTAAAAATGAAAGATTATGATTTAGAAATAATTGTCGAGAGATTTTCGCACTCTCTCTTTATAAAATCGTTGTTTGGACGGAGTTAAAAAAATGTTGTGGACGTACGAATTTATTTTCAAGTTAAAAATTAGATACAAGTTTTCGTTAGTAAATAAAAACAAAAATAAATAAATTTAGGCATTTCAATATTAGAGGTGCGAAAATTGTGGAGTAGAAAAATCTTGTATAGTCATGGGGGTAATCACACAGTTGTAAAAAGCTGTGGATAAATTATTCTTATTATTAATGAAATTTTAATAAACGAAAATTCATGAATGAAAATTAAATCTTAAGAATTCTACAATAAAATAAAGATTGTATGTAATAAAAAATATTCAGTCAATCTATAAACATTTTGTTTGTGCAACCGACAGCGGAACTTAAAATCTTTCACGTGATTTTTATTATTCAAAATAAAAAACCGGACAGAAAAGTCGGTCACAAACATATTTTCAAAAAATACATATAAGTAAAAAATATAATTAAATCACTATCTTAGTTCTTAACTAAAATTAATGATATTTATAAAAAAAAGTATCCGATTTTAAAAATAGAAACTTTTATATTAAAAACATTTTCTCTGTTTTGAAAACAATTTTTACGTTTTAAAAACATTTTTCTTTTTGCATTTTAAAACGATTTTTTGTTTTGGAAACAAGTTTTGTTTCTTGAAAAACATTGTTTTGAAATGTTTTCTTTTTCTTTATGCTTTTAGAAACATTATTTTGATTAAAAATTAAACATTTTTTGTTTTTAAAAACATAAATATATTTAAGTTAGGGATTCACTTGGAGGAGAGTCAGCGAATGAAAGCTCTCGGTAATGTGTCATTGCATGTAGGCATTTTTAAATTCTAAAAATTCGAAGCTTAAATTATTATATTTATACATAATACGGGTGCACTGTGTGCAAATTGAAAAATTATCGAATAATTTTGCATGAAAGAGATGAAAAGACAAGGATCAAAGAATCTGCATTACGAAACAATCCAATTTTGAATTCGTGCAATTTTTTTTTCTTAAAGAACAGCTAATCGAAAGGGCAATTTTTCAAAAAGTTTTTCAACCTAACTTTGTTATGCAGAACTTTGTCGATTGTCTATGCTTCATTTATTAAGAGCAGAATAATTGCTTTTATCATCTCATTTAGTCTATTCTCATTTCTCCTTCCAATCCTCTAACCGGTTTTTTTTTCACTGTCTCATAAAATAATGAGAAACTATTTCTAAAATAGCGACTAACTAAAAATTGTGAAATATATGAGAATATTTATATGTAAGAAACCAGATATTATCTAATATCTAACAATTCTGAACGAATGATCTAACGGCCTAAGACTATATTGAGCAGAAGTTATGTAAATTTTTTTTTTACATAGAATTAATGCTCCTTGATAATTGGAATTATTGCGATTTTCATTGTAAATCAAACTTCGCGAATCTTTTGAAGTTTGAAGAATTTGAATTCTACTTTATCTAAGTCAAAGGAAGCAGCATTTGCAATCTGCGAAAAATAATCAGTGCCCGCGGCCTCTTTTTTTTTTATTAATTGAGACAAAAAATAAAATTATTTTCTTTATATACTTGATGTTTGATACCCAAGAGCGATGTGAGACATTCATCCTGGTATTTGACTGGTGACAATATTGTTACCACCACCTCCTGATGCAGTTGGTGGCGATGATGGTTCTTGCATAAGTGTATGCGTTTCCTCCTCCTGATCGGATAATGGCAATGTGACTGGTGTCTCTCGTGCCTCCGATGATGATGATTTGAGTTTCATTTGACTCGGCAATTCAGTGAGAACTGGTCCATACTGCGAAGTGGAACCCACCAGCAAGTCAGTGGATGGATTCAAACCGCCCAACATCTTAATAGCAACGCGTACAAAAAAATAAAGTAAAGGATCGAACAAAGTGGGTTTTGAGATGCATGGCGTAAAAGAAAAGCAAAAAAACCTATTGCGTATGCGATATTAAGCTATACATATACGAAAATAGAAATTTTAAAATTATACCTGTCCACCACCACCGCTCAATCCCCCCCTCGGGGATTTACTTCGTCGGAAAAATCGAAGCCACACCCAAATAATGCCCAAAAATAATCCAAAAAACATCATTGTCGCGCCCACTGCCAATGATCCACTGGAACCACTTCCCACGTGTTCCTCAACTTCTGTCGTTGCATCTTTCACTGGCGGTGTTTTCTTCTCCGTCTAAAAAATTAATGAGAATCAGTAATTGCTTTTAAAACTATAAAAATTTCTAATATCCCAAAAATAATTCTCTAAAATCGATTTTGCCGTTTTTATATAATTTCTATGCAGAGATGTATATAAATAGAAGCGTGAAAAAAATCAATGTCATTCAAAATACGTCTTTTTTTTTTTTTTTTTTTTGTAAACCGACTCTGTACTATTATACAAACAGTTAATGTAATTCAAAAATAGTATACATAATTACATCCTGAGCTTTGTTCTTTGTTGAATCATCGTCTGATGCTAGATTAACAATCAATTCTGTCAGGCCAGCGACAAAGATACAAAATGAAACAGATAAAAGAAGCCACTCGAGCCATTTTCTCGAGCTGAATTTATGTCTTGAAAAGAGTCTGGAGAAACTATTTCTTAGACCACTTGTTATACGTGGATCTCTTCCATTATCATAGGCATAGCCCACTGTTGTTGGTTGATAAACAGCACTGCTTTCTGGCATATTTGCAAATTCTTCTTATTCGTTTTCCTAGAGAAAAATAAAAAGATTTTCACTTTTTTCTTTTAATGCGCACTCAACAAATCACACATATATACTTTTTGGCACAATGCGACAATTGTCTCGGGGAATTCTGGGACACCACTTTACCAGGTGCAATGAAATCAATGACGAGATAATTTCACAGATAAATGAACACAGACTTTTATACTAGACCGATCATTTCGCGTAAGATGCTGTGTAATAATTTTTTTATTCTCCTTGTTTAAATAATAAAAAAAAACTTGTTATTTTGCACTCGAAAAAAAAAAACAAGACTTCACGCGAACAATGGTTTTTCCATTGTTGTGTGTGATGACCTGCGTCAGCGTACTACTGTAATTACAAACCCATATATGTATAGATATTACCTTTCAATATTTTTTTATTTTTGAAATTAGTGACAGGAAAAATACAATATTATTTATAATTGTAATATTTTGTATGTGTCCCGTATTTTTGTGACAATAAAAAGTACACTATATTTCTGACAGAAATATTAAAAAAAAAGAAAATATTAACTTATTGAGGTTAGGTGTCACAGTAAAAGACGAAAAATATGTTAGCGATAGTAGCAAACCTATAGTGAAAATCTCGAAACTAAAATTGTCATCTTCTGCTCGTCTGATAATCGTCTGCTATTATGACGCGACTAATAGTCACAACAAGTGTTACACACGTGTTGTTAAAATGAAAATAATTTAATATATCACTTTCCAAATAATGAAAACAATAAGAATTTTCACTAATACATAAAAAAAACAATAATTCACATTAAATACTTAATATTTGTATAATGCTAAAAATTTATAACCTCAAAATAGTGAACAAATGATTATTAATGATTCGTCTTTTTTATAAACAGTTTTCGAGATTGTTGTTTAATGGCAAAAAAAGTGTGAATAAAAGAAGGATTAGCCTTTCATTAATATTAAATCAACAAAAAGAGAAAAACATGAAAGTTCTTAATGTTGCTGAGAAAAATGATGCTGCTAAAAATATAGCAAACTGCATTTCACGTGGTGGTAATCGATGGGTAAGTTGAAATTTAAATTTTCTTTATTATTATGAATGAATTATTTCACTTAACCAATAAAAATTCTATTCTATTCTTTCAGAGAGATGGTTTATCAAAATTCAATAAAATCTACGAATTCAATACACAATTATGGAATCAAAATTGTCAAATGTTGATGACATCGGTGTCGGGTCATTTATTAACTTACGAATTTGTAGGAAATTATCGAAAATGGCACGGATGTCATCCTTTAAGTTTATTTGAGGCTCCAGTTGTAAAAAATTGTCCCGATGATTTTATTAAAATTAAACAAACACTGGAGAGAGAAGTGAAAAGTTGTAATGCTCTTATCATTTGGACTGATTGTGATAGAGAAGGAGAAAATATAGGTTTTGAAATAATTAAAGTATGCACTGCCATTAAACCCAATATTAGGGTCTACAGGTAAACAATTTAGAAGGATAAGTTTAAAACGAAAAAGTATCAATATAATGTAATAAATTTTATTTACAGGGCAAAATTTTCTGAAATAACAAATCAATCGATAAGCAGAGCTCTTGCAACTCTCGGCGAGCCAAATAAAGCAGTTAGTGATGCTGTTGACGTGAGAAGTGAATTAGATTTAAGAATAGGTATTAAATGTTTTACATTTTATTTTTCTTTAATTTATTTAATTGTATAAATTGTATTTATTAATTGTATGCTTGTGTAGGGGCTGCATTTACTAGATTTCAAACATTAAGACTTCAAAAAGTATTTCCTCAAAAATTAGCAGACATGTTAATTAGCTATGGAAGTTGTCAATTTCCTACTCTTGGTTTTGTCGTCGAGAGATTTCTTGCTATTGAACGATTTCAGCCGGAAACTTACTGGAAAATAAAAGTGCTTGACGTGCGAAATGATCTTCATGTTGAATTTAGATGGGCGCGAAATAGACTTTTTGAAAAATTACCTTGCCAGGTTCTTTTTGAAATGTGTCAAGAAAATCCTGTTGCTACTGTTGAAAAAGTAACGAGTAAACCAAAAAGTAAATGGAGACCATTGCCTTTGGACACTGTTGTATGTTTTTCTTTGCTCATTATAATATATTATTTTCGTAAATGTTTTGTATGATTCAAAATTTATTTTTATTTTTTAATAGGAACTCGAGAAATTAGGATCACGAAAACTTCGACTTAGTGCAAAAGAAACAATGCAAGCGGCAGAGAAACTTTATACTCAGGGTTTCATTAGTTATCCACGTACGGAGACAAATATTTTTCCCAAGGAATTAAATTTACAACCCCTTGTACAACAACAAACAGAGAGTGGAAATTGGGGTGATTTCGCTCAACGTGTTTTGCAAGATGGAATTAATCCTCGGCAAGGAAAAAAGAGTGATCAAGCCCATCCACCTATACATCCAATTAAATTTGCCAATAATCTTCATGGTTTGTTTTCATTTACTAATAATAAATTGCATTTTTTTTTTTAATTAAATATTTCATTCTTTAAAAATTATTTAATTTAGGAAATGAAGCAAAAGTGTATGAGTTTGTTGTGAGGCATTTTCTCGCATGTATTGCCAAAAATGCCGAAGGTCAAGAGACAATTGTTGATATTGACATTGCTGGTGAGAAATTTATTGCCAATGGTTTGCAAATTATTGCAAAAAATTATTTGGACGTTTATGTTTATGAAAAATGGAACGCCAAAGAGATACATGCCTATGAACAGGGACAAAACTTTAGACCGACTAGTATTGAAATGCCAGAGGAGAAAACTTCACCACCAAATTTATTGACTGAAGCCGATTTAATTGCCTTAATGGATAAACATGGAATTGGCACTGATGCAACACATGCTGAACATATTGAAACAATTAAAAAGCGAGAATACGTTGGTCTTACGGCTAATCAACATTTTATGCCTGGAAAATTGGGTATTGGCCTTGTGATGGGTTATGACAAAATGGGCTTTCAAATGTCCAAACCCAATCTTAGAGCTGAACTTGAAAATGATTTAAAATTGTAACTATACTCTTTAATATTTAATTATTTAATTTATTTTAGTTTTTTTATTGGAAAATTTATATTATTGCAGAATATGCGAGGGACAAAAGAATCCAAACGATGTTCTCACACGGCAAGTAACGAAATATCGAGATGTTTTTAAAATTGCTCTTGAACGTGCCAATTTAATTGACACTTCACTTGCCGAATATCTTGACGATGTTCCAGTGGCTACGGCTGACATTGAAATTCCAGAAGTTGCGATGAATCCCACTATTTTGAAATGTCCCCGATGTGGTTTCGATATGACATTGAAAGATCGAAGAAATCAAGAAGGAAAATACATAAGTTGCATGAATTTTCCAGCGTGTAGTAACGCTATTTGGTTACCTTTGGCCGTTGTGAATGTTGAAGTTCAAGATCAAATATGCAATCAAGTGAGAAGAAAATTTTTATAATGAAATACAATTCTTTTTCTAAAATGAACTTAATTTTTTTTTTAAATTACAAATTTTCAGTGTCCAGGAGGAATGCACAAATTAAAATTTAAATTTAAACCTGGAGCAATGCCACGTTTTGGCGTGGAGTACACGACATGTATTGGTGGTTGTGACGAGATATTTAATGACAGTATGGATATAAAATTAAACAATGTTCGAAATACCGGACGATCAAATGATTCAGGTTATCAAAGTTCGAATAGCACACAACGAAGTTCTCAAAGTAATTCGTCTAGTCAGAGAAATAATAATGCCACTAGTAGTACAAATAATTCACGATCAATGTCACAAGCGAGACAACAACAAAGTCAAGGAAATTCAAATAATACAGTTCAATTTAGACAACCTGAGAATACACGACAACAAAATGGATGGTCAAGACAAAATAATCAAGAAACAAGGACAAATGTTGGGATGGTCACGTCAAATGCAAATAGTAATTCAAATATTAGTCAAAATTGGGGTTCTGTAGATGATGGTTCAGCAATTTTATGTAACTGTCATAATCCTGCTATTCAATTAACTGTCAGAAAGGATGGACCAAATATAGGTATTTTAAAAATTTTACTAAAGAAATTAATTTTCAATGGCGTTCATTTAAATAATGGCTGCCTTTAATTCTTAAAATAATAATTTAAAAATTCATAGGTCGACAATTTTTCAAATGTGCTCAACCACAAGGATCGGGTTGTAATTATTTTATGTGGGCATCCAGTGATGAAAATAACAGTACTGGAACTCAACCTCCTCCTTCAGGGGGAAACACGTATAATCAAAATACACAAAATGACTGGCGTAATAATTACAATGCACCAGGTCCATCAACAAATTGGTCAAATAGTAATAATTTGAATACATCAGGTGACAATGTTACTTGCAATTGTGGTCAACCTGCTAAAAAGTAAATTATTTAATATATCTAAAATTTTTTAAAAAATAATAACATTTTTATAAAAATAAATTCATTTTTTTTTATTTTGAATATTTTTCTTTTATTAGATTAACAGTTCAGAAGGAAGGAGTAAATAAAGGACGACAATTTTATGGGTGTCCGAAAGGAATGCAGAGTACTTGTAAATTTTTCCAATGGGCCGACGAAACAAACGCAAATGCAAGTTACAGAGGAGATGATGATGATGGAGGCGGTGATGGAGGAGGAACTTGGGGTGGCGGTAATAGAGGTGGTGGAAACTGGGGAGGTGGAGATTGGGGATCATCATCTTCGGGAAGAGGTCGTGGAAGAGGTGGAAATGCACCTAAAAAACCACGAGCTCCAGGTGCTAAAAGAAAATGCGGAATCTGTGGAACTGAAGGTACATTTTGACGATTATTTAAAAAAATATATATTTTCGAGGAATTATCCTCATATAATTAGGATATTTTAAAAAATTATTTTATCTTTGCTGCTTTTTTTTGTTCTTGCAGGTCATACGAAGAAAACATGTCCTCGAAATTCAAGAGATTGATGTGTTACACAAGGTACATTTTTTTTTCAGTAAACAGAATTTTTTAAAAAAGTTTTATTCTGAGAATCGAGTCATATTGACAAGTTTTATTAAACTACACGAATGAGAAGTTTAATTATCACTGTGATTTCGTTAAAAATAGTATACATTTAAAATGATTTTGTGCCTTTCTTAGGTTAAGGATACACTTTTAACTATATTTCAGATAATTAAATTTTTTTTCACTAGTTAAAGAAAATTGGATATTTATACTAAAAAAGGAAAGATCACAAAATAATTCAAATTCATGTAATATTTAACATAAATTAGTTTAGAGTTTAATAAGTTACAATGAATTATGAATTATTTGTGATTATTTTTAAAATGTACGTATACTGTATATATAGTAAAAGTGAAATTAGCTTTTTTATTTTTGTAATAAAGTATTTCATAAAATATAATAATTCATTGATATATATATATATATATTAATCTTTAGATTTCGATAGATTTCCATTTTTATTAAATATCGAAATTTTAAGTACCAGCTCGTTTAATAGATAATTGACTCCTAAGCCTTTCAATTTCTTCTTTCTCTAAATTACCCTCAGCTGTTGCTTCAGTTAACTGAAAGTAATGATTTATCTTTAAAATTTTATCTTTTTTTTTTGTTTTTAAAAAGTGCTTTCATTTACAACTTTGATATTCTTACCATGTCTAATACGATTTCAAATTTTAGTTTCAGCAAATTATTTTCCTCTTCTAATTGTTGTATTTCTTTTTTTAATATTTCGTTTTCCTTAAAAGTACCTCCAATTTCTCCAGTTTCTAAAATATAAATAATTCGTTATTCGATATTAAATTTCTTTTTTAGTGAAATTAATTTTTTTATTTATTTTTTAGAATACGAATTTGTTGCATTCTTACCAGGAATCCATACTCCATTTTCAAAAACAGCTTGCATTTCTCCCAAACAAATTCTAATCGGCCCAACTTCGGGTCCCAATTCTTTTTCTAATCTTTTGGGACTGAGATTTGTGTTTGACAATGACACAGGAGCCTTTCTTGGTGGTGTTTTTTTTGGTGAGAATTTACTTGAAAATAGAGGCATTTTTATTGTTTTAATAAAAATTCTATTTTATTTCAACTAATGAGAAAAACTTCTTAACATAAAATTATTAAAGTTGAGGTTATATTTTAGAAATATTAGAGTTTTATTTTAAAAACATAAGTAAAAATTGATGATATCATCATTTAATATATTATAATTATATTCTCAATCACTATACATAAATGTGTCTCATTAACAATTAATTATAAACAATAGGTATTTTAAATGAGTTGTTTTTGTTTACTATTTTGACACTGACAGTCACGTGGTTACCATGGTTACGTATTTACGTCGGTAAGAATAATTTGTTCTGTTTTACCATCTTAAAGATGGCGCTGTTATCAATCAGCTGACACATATATATTGAAAATTGGCGGTCTGTCATTGATCCGTGATGTCACATTTTTATCACATTTCTTTCCTTTTAGTCTAAATATGTGTGTTTAAAGTTCAACAAGTCTATCTTTAAAATTTTCCGTAATGTTTTTTTTAATTTATTAAATCATGTTATTTTAAATATTGAATATACAAGTTTTGTGCAAACATTTTTTGCTTATAAAAGCAGTTGTCGTGTTAGTATGCAAATTACTGTTGCACCTTGTTGACTGCTTTATTTTTTTGTCATTGCATTGACGTTTATAGTTTATCAGTCATTCTAAATATTCACATTGACAATAACAATGGCGTGGCTTGGAAATATTGCCAGCAATATGTTACGAAATGTTTTCGTTGAAACTGCCGAAGATGTTGTTTTAGAGGTTAGATCAGATCAGTACGGTAGTCGACATGTACATTGTCGTGAAGACGGAGTTGTTTTATATGATCCTGGAGAAAAATATAAGGATAAATATGAAATTGTTCTTCATAGACCTTGTACCGAAACGTTACATCAGGCCTACAGGTATAATCATATTTTTCATTTCTTCATAACTTGGTATATTTATATTTTTACTTTTTTTCTATATAAATAAATAAATTTGATAGTAAAGTTTTTGAGTAAATAGAATGTAGTTTTATCTCTTTTTAAATATTTTAACAGTAGAAAGATAACAGGAAAATAATTTAATTATCTTTTTGTTTTTATCTTGAAAAAATTTAATCCCGGAAAATTTGAATATAAAAATGTTTGTTCTAATTAATCAAACGTTGGACAATAAATTATAAGATTAATTATTTGCCATGCTAGTGGTTGTTTAATATATTTATTATTTTCTTTTCATGCATTTTTTTCGTAATGGAATGATACAGTCTATTTCGTTCTCAAAATTTGAAAATGACGGAGACAAGATTTCTGATTTTTAAAGATAAAGTTCCAATTCTTGTGCAGCTGTGCAGAGAGGTAATTTTATACTAAATTAATAGACATATTATTAAACATTAAATTGTAAGTGAAATATAAATTATTTTTAATTTTCAAGTTAAGCAACACGGGAAAAATTCAGAGACTATGCAGTACACTGGTGGAGCATCCAACATGGAATTTGGCTCATTTAGCAGCACATCTATTACTCTACGAAGCCTTCTCGCACGACATTGTGAACAGTCAATTAAATAGCAGCGATCCAGAAACAGGAGTTTCACCCCTTCAGGTAGCGATACAGACAAATAATTTAAAAATCGTACAAATGCTAATTGAAGCAAAAAGCTCTCTTGAACATTTGGACAACAATCGGAATACTGTCTATCATTATGCAGCATCATCGACAAAAGATATTATAACCATCTTGGGCTCAGGTCTTCCTAATACATTAAATAGTAAAAATAACGAGGGACATACACCAATGCATGTTGCTTGTCGTAGCGATAAACCGGAATGTGTTAAAGCACTTTTATTAATTGGTGCTGATGTCAATATTCCTGCTTCCGAAGGTCAGCCATCGAGTCCCGGTTATGTGGGTGATTTTCTTCATAAAAAGCCAAATGTTCTTTATCCAGAGGACATGAAATTTGGTGGTACTCCATTACATTGGTCAGTTAGTCGAGAAGTGATAAATGCTTTAATTGAGAAGAATTGTGATATTGATGCACTTAATTTTCATGGTCGTACGGCTTTACACATAATGGTTCAACGAAAACGATTAGAATGTGTTGTGGCTCTTTTGAGTCATATGGCTAATGTAAATATCACCGATGATGAGGGAGATACACCATTACATATTGCCGTTGCCGAAGCAACACCAGCGATTGTTCAAATTCTCATTGGTTTTATGGCTGATTTAAATGCAAAAAATTGGCTAAAACAAACACCACGTCATCGAGTGAATCTCGATAGTAATGATGGTAATAAAATTTTGTACATTCTTCATGCGGTAGGTGCTGAGCGTTGTGATAAAAATACATTTGGTTGTCACAATGGTTGTAAATATAATGAGGATTATAATGGTGTTGCTCCACCGGAACCACCGACAGCCGTTCCACGTACAATTCTCGATCAAATGTTATATGTTGCAAGTATGGAGAAATTGGCGTCTAAAAAACGAACACCATTGCGTGGTGGAAGATTATTGTGTCTTGATGGAGGTGGAATTCGAGGATTGGTACTTGTACAAACTCTTCTTGAGGTGGAATCGGTTCTTGGTAAACCGATAGTTGCTTATTTTGATTGGATCGCTGGTACATCAACGGGTGGAATTCTTGCTCTTGGTTTGGCAGCTGGTAAAAGTTTGAGAGAATGTCAAGCACTTTATTTTCGTTTAAAGGAGGAGGCATTCGTTGGTATGCGACCGTATAATAGTGAGCCATTTGAGAAAATTCTTAAAGAATGTTTGGGTGCCGAACGTGTTATGACAGATATTCATGGTCTCAAAGTGATGATCACTGGTGTTCTTGCTGATCGTAAACCAGTTGATTTGCATTTGTTTCGTAATTATGATTCACCGAGTATTTTAATGGACGTGCCGACGAGTATGAAATTTAAAGAGACTCTTGATCCAAAGGAACAATTATTGTGGAAAGCGGCTAGAGCAACTGGAGCGGCACCTTCGTATTTTCGGGCGTTTGGAAGATTTTTGGATGGTGGATTAATTGCGAATAATCCAACACTTGATGCAATGACGGAAATTTATGAATATAATTTGGCATTAAAAGCGACTGGTAGGGATGATGAAATTGTTCCATTGTCGGTGGTTGTTTCAATTGGAACGGGATTAATTCCTGTGACTCCCTTGACGGAAATTGATGTCTTTAAACCGGAAGGATTGTGGGATGCGGCAAAATTGGCAATGGGTGTTTCGACACTTGGACATTTATTGGTTGATCAGGCTACTGCAAGCGATGGACGAGTTGTTGATCGTGCGAGAACATGGTGTTCGATGATTGGAGTTCCTTATTATCGATTTAATCCTCAATTAACGAAAGAAGTTGCCATGGATGAGAAAAGTGATGTTATTTTAGCTGAAATGATATGGACTGCTAAGGCTTTTATGCACGCTAATAGGGATCAAATTAAAGAATTAGCCGCTGTCATGAATTCAATGGCTCAAGGCACGGATTGATGATTGCTGAATAGTGAACATTTTTTTTTAAACAAGCAGGTTCAATATTTTAATAATTCAAATAATTAATAAATGCACAAACATAATTTTTTTTTTACCTATTACGCTTTTGTATTTTCTATCAAGGAGGTGAGAATATCTTTGCAATAATTAAATGATATTTGATAGTAAATTAAGATTTGATAAAAATTAAAATAATTCATTTGAAATAATCTCTGTCAAAAGTCATTGGAAAATTGAATACAATTTACAGTAATTATATTTTGAATTTAAATACGGTAATTTAAATTTATAATCTGTCGTTAAGTTTGTTTCTTGAAAAATAATTTAAAAGAAATGATAAAATAAAATTATTGATCGTTAAAATATTTTCAACTTTTGATAGTGATTGTCGAAGATGATTTATCTTAATGAACAATTTAGACTTTTAAAAGTTAATGCCTTTAGATAAATTCAAATGCCTTTTTGTAAATATTGGCTTAGATTATTTTAGATTTCAGGGTGCTACAACTACGTCAACTTGTAGGAATTATTATAGCGAATTCAATCACAAAATGAAAATTAGTTAATTTATTAATTATTAAATAATTAATGAAGATTTTGATCTGAATTTCTATTTAATATAAATTACTGATTATTAATAATATTAATTTATTAATTATTACTTTTTAATAATAATTATAATTAATATAATAATTAGTTAATTGAATCATTGAATACTATTGATATAGACCAATTCGTATTTTTTTGGATCCAATTAATTAAATTTAAATTAATTCAGTTCCATCCGAATTTCTAATGAAATATGAATAATTTTATAAATGAGCAAGCTTTGTAAAAAATCAGCTCAAAAAAATCAATAATGTTTTTAAAACCAAAAATTAGATTCTAGTATACAATATCAATTATTTCTATAACAAAATTACGTAAACTTAAAGAAATATTTTTGAAAAATTTATGATTTACTGATTAAATAATAAAAGAAATAATCTCTATTTTCAATAATATTTGCATGTCACTTAATAATATTTATCATTCAAGAAAAACAAAGTAATTTATTCTTAAAATTTTTTTAATCTTCCATCCATTTTTTTAAAATTGTTTGATGTTTTTTTTATTTTGAAATCTATAATTAATTACAAATAACTATAATCCCTCCATGAAACAAACAGTTAGAAGAGAATACATTTTGAAAGTGACTTCTGCCTATTGAAAAATAGTAAAATAGATAAATATAAAAATTTTAAAATAGATATATAATTACATATTTATAATGAATGATAAAGAACTGTTTGTTCATGATTTATTTATTTAATTACAATATTTACAAGCACAAATATGCTTCTCTTTAAGAAAGAACAATTTTTATTTTAGGCATTGACAATACATTTCTCCTGTGAGAAAATAAAATACATAATCAATAATGTATTGGAAAAAAAAGCTTTTTATTGTGTGCCATCGATTATTGTTAAAAAAAAAACTTTTTAAAAAATAGTTTTTAATAATGAAAAAGTATAATGAATGTTCTAAATTATTCTTGACTTTAGTGCACGTCAGGGATTTTATAATGTTTCATATTTACAATTTTGTAAAATTGAGAATAAAAAAATCTTTTACGTTTTGTATGAATCTATATATATATATATACGAGTAGCGCAGAAGTTTTCAATAATAATAATAAAAAGAAAATTCTCGAAATACGTTTTATTTTCATTGAAAACAATTATATTTAATTATTGAATTCTTTTTTTTTTATTCTTGGGGTTTTTTTAATTCAATGAATAAAAAATCAACTTTTGTTTTAGTTTCGCTTTAATAAATATCAATTAAATTAATTTCATATACTAATAATATACATACATAGTTAGAGAAGTGATAAAATTCTCATTAAGTACAATAGGAAAAAAAAATTTTTTGTTTACAACAACGTACAATCACAATTTCAAACAAAGTTCTAAAATTAACATACAATTATAAATTATAATATTACATATATATAAAAAAAATTAATAAGTACAATTTTTCTTTCCCGTATATTTTTTATTTTTAAATGGGCAAAAAATTAATGTCGGCTTTCAGCAAAAATTGCAATATAAATTACAAATATCATTTGAAATTCTAATATTTGATTTGAAATTAAGAATTAATTAATTGAAATCATAATATTAGAATTTCATAATTAATATCCTTGAAATTATATTTAAATTATATTATAAAAATGTGTCTATTAGTAAATTAATTTTTCATTCAATTTAATAATAATAATAATATTTTTTCTAAACAGGAATTTTCTGTACACAGAAAATGCAAATAAAAGATTAACATCGAGGGCCCATATAATAAGGTGGTTGCGTCATTGACGGTGAAATATAAGGATAAAACGAATGAGTCGGTACCGTTTGTGGTTGATAATCACTTTCCTCGTGAACAGGATAACTTTCAGGTGCAGGATAATATTGACCATGAACATATGCATATGGTTTGGTGGTGGTTGTTGTTTCGGAAAATTTTAAATTCTCAGGATATGTTTTTGTTTCAGGATATTTTGGAAGTTCATAATTTCTTGAAAGATCATATGTTTTGGATTGTACTTCTGGATATTTAATACCATTTTCAAGTGATTTTATTGTCGTCGTCGATTCTAAATATTTTGGATCCGAGTAATTTTTTTCAGTTAATTCATATGGTTTACTGTAGTGCTCAATTGGACTTTTGATTGCTTCTGAATAAGTTGTTTTTGACAAATCCTGATAAGATTTTGATGTTGAATCATTATACGAGACGATGGATCTATCATAAGGCTGATATCGGGGATTTGTTTTTGAACTTTCAGAATAGAGTCGACTATAACTGCAGTTGGATGAGCTGGCAGATTCTAATGATGTGAGGGGCAAGGAACTACGATGAGTTAAAATGCTTACTTGATCATCTGGCTTTGGTTTCCTTCTGCGTGGCTGATACTGTAATTTACAAGAATTTTTTTTTTTTTTTTGACAATTTTATAATTATCTTTTAATTACTTATTATATTTTTGTGCGAGTAGTAATTATTTTTTTTCTATTAAATTTCTATTATTTTTATTTAAGTGAGGATTATTCTACAGTATTAGTTATTTTAAATTAAATATTGTGAATTTTTAATTCAATTTTTTATAGTAATCAAAAATTTTGGTTTAATTCAAATAATCGTTTATTTAATTATCATTAAATAAATATTTATTTGTATTAAATAATTATACGAATTATTTAAATTTGTTTCAAATACAATTTATTTATTTAAAAGAAAAATTATTTGATTCATGTAAATATTTATTTGGATAATATAGTCAAGTAACGGATTATTTATTATTTTTTTCGAAGTGGATAGATTTTTATATATATTTCTATTAATAAGCTTTATTTATTTTTTTTAATTTTCAGAAGAGAATCTGACCTTATAGTGAGGATGAAGTTGCTTGTGTGCATTGCGCAATCTTTCAGCTTCGTCTATGAAAGGCTGCTTTTCTACATCACTTAGAATCCTTTGAACAATAAATTTTTTAAAGGTAAGACTTATTATTTCTTTAATAAATAATTTTTTTAAAAACTAGTTTATAATCCGATTTGTTTTTTAAAATTCGTGAACAAATTAAATAATTAATTAACTAACAGAATAAAGAAGGAAAATAAAATAAAAAATTAATTAATTAAATTATATTGACGTTGATAAATATAAAATTAGAAAAATATATTTTAAAAAAATCCAAAAATAAAAGTATAATATTCCGAGTATCCACCTAATCAAGAGGCGCAAATTTGAAAATATTTAAAATCCGCGCTACTTTTTGATTGGCGGGCAAGAACGTTATTCTACGCAGGCGCAGTACTTTTAGAACACACGCATGCGCAGAATGATTTATATTTAAAAATACAGAAAATTTGAAATTAGCGCCATTATTTGATTGGTGGATGAAAATAATCAATTCTGCGCAGGCGCGACCAGTGTTCGTTTTGGCGCGTTCTACACCGCAGCAATGGCGTCACTTGCGTTATGGAACACTGAATCGCAAAAAGTTTGCATTTTTCAAGTGAAATATAAATTGGATACCTCCATAATCGTCCTAAAGTTTTTGATAATTCAGCATTGTGAAGTTGTGGATATTGATCAGCGAGTCTTCTTCTTGCAGCTTGTGCCCATACCATAAAAGCATTCATTGGACGTTTTACGTGTGCATTTCTTCGACCACCAGCTCTTGCAGTAACAGGAAGTAATGTCCAGTCGTATCCTGCAAAAATAATTCACAGGTAAAACTTATCTATTTTACAGTTCTTTTTACTTTTCCATTGAGACTTTTACTATATAATTATAATGTATCAAGTAGTATTAAAAGTGCTAGGTAAAAGTGACCATTCCTCGACAGTGCAATTGACAGCTGTTATTAAAACTTGAAAAATATAATAAATAGCAGTTTGCAGATTAAACTATACATATAAGGAAACAACGACAAAGAAATATTGTATCTTATACATATGTTAAAGTATACGCAGTATTTGATTACTTCATATTTTCTTCGATGTTTGATTTCGTGTCAAACATAACCTACATTTTTTTCACTTTTTTGCACAGCAAATTAAATTTTGTATTTATTGATCAATATTAACGTTTTAAGTTTTTGCTTTTCAAGTGATTGAATTTATAATTTTTTTTTTTTTTTAAGAATTGTCTAAGATTAGATAGGTATTTATAACGGGGGAAAACATAAACTTATTGTTATTTCAGTGTATTTTTGAGGGTTGTAAATGTGAGTTTACTCGACACTTTTTTGTTTACAAGAAATGTACAGGAAGCAGGTTCTTGGCAAGGAATTGGTTTGTAAATGAATACGATAAAAGGACACCTGTATCCTTATGGTATATTTTGCCGCTAGTATTTATATGAGACCTCTATTTGTCTTTTTGCTGCAGAAAATAAGATAAGGACCTAAAAGTTTTATGACTTTGAAATTACAAAGGTCGCTCGAGCCTGGCGGTTTTCTACTTATTATTTCAGTTGTAAACTAATTAGTTTTCCTTATTAAAATTAATACAAAATTAAATAAATATAGTCCATTCCGATTTCTGTTATTTTTCTTTTTTTTAATAAAAAATTTCAATTTTAATTTAATTTTTTTTGAAATTTAATATAAGAAATGATAAAAAAAAAATTCTAATAATAAAGATGTTTTTGGCTGTTTAAAGAGAGTGAAGAATTAATGTGATGACGTGTCGACAAGCATTTTCAATGTGCGCTTTTTCCCTTTAACACATGTTCAAGTTTTTACTTCATTGAAGTGAATTTTTTAAAGGGTGAGTATACACTCTGAGGCGTAAGACAAAATTACGTGAAAGACGCGGAAGGAGTGAAAGTCACTTTAAAAAGTTAGCAGTACGTTCCTAATTGCAGCGGCATGGAGAGGGGAGTAACTAGGATTTTTGTCGATGAACGTCACCGCGGGGAATCGAGAGAAAAAAAACAAGAACTTGGGAGCTAATTACTCAAAAGAGGATATGGTCCACCGATGCGGCATCTCTGGCGGCTTTCTTTCAATGCTGGAGGTCCTTTGTAATATCCCTCCGTCTGCGTCTGTCAGGATACGTGGAAATGCGGAAAGGGTTTGCCTCAACACCAGGAATATCTTTCACGTGAATTTATAAGTCTTCCTCGTTTTCGATGATCACAACTATAACTTCATTCTTGGTAAGTTCTTTCTCCCCGCATTTTTTCAATTGAAATAATATCATTTTTAGATTTTTATCAATTTAAATTATTTTTAATATCTGAATTTTATTTAATTATATATATATAGAAATTATTTGAAATTATAATAATTGAAACGACTTTACTGAAATGATTTCTTAATAAATTAAATATTATTAGGTTTTATTTTGTGGGATATACAATATGTCGTTAAATTGAACATCTTAATCCGTTAGTTTTTCTCAAATTGGATTGTTGATGTTTAGTAGAAAGATCAAGTGCTAAACAAGGCTCAGAATTCTGACAACAGTTGATTGTCCCCTATTGAAAGAACAAGTGTTTAGTTTAAGTCCTTTTCATCAATGACGACCTGTCGCGATACTTGGCACATTAACTCCTGCACAAGCTTCTACTTGTCAGCAAGTTTCACGTTAAATGCTCTAACACTTATTCTCTTCATCAATTAACCAATCTATCAAAATCCTTAAACATATTTTGAAATTAATTCACAAAATTGATTTCAATCCATAAATAATGTATTTATTCCTCTCTATTTTCTTTTTTCTATATTAACTAACCCCTTCTTTTATATTTCATCAGTTTTTGTAATATTCACATTTTAATTTTCAATCTCAATTAATAAATCATATTTCTAATTTTTTATTCTCAAGTCGCAGAATAATTTTTGGAATCAGAAAACAGTAAAATAACAATTTTTCCATGAAAAGAAAAAACAAAATTCTGAATTAATGGCTATATATTAGAAAGATTTTTGGTCGTATCAAAAATGGAATTGTCGTCAATGTTGAAATGTATCTTCTGCACGATGTCCAACTCAAAAGTTCTCCGGTTGCACTATTGCTCACGCTATAAATTATGTCAGCCAGTATTGCTCGTAACTACAAGATGTGTCAGATTTAATTCGGTACGCGCATAATTAGTGTGGTACAGCGGTTTCGCTCTGCTCGCAGCACCTGCTTCGCAAATCTTTCCAAGTTGTGCTGTTACTTCGACTCTTATTCACATCGAGAATCCTCCCTCTCTTTATATACACGCACTCCTTCAAAATTCTGATGCTCTCATTATCGCTAAACACATAGTAATTTTTAACTTTAAATTTAAAATCTTTCTTTTTTCTTCATCAAAACAACATTTGAAACATTCTTTTTTAATCATAAATGAAATAATTTAATTAATTAATAATAAATTAATTAAAAATTATCGAAAATTTTTTTTTATTTTATTGTAATAATCGCTTAATTGACTATTATTAAATAAATATATATTTATTTGTATCAAATACACAAACTATTGGTTTATTTTCCAATTAAATAAAAACTATTCTATTCAAATAAATATTATTTATATTTAATAAAATAATTAAATGATTGTTTGAATCAAATAAAAAAAAAAATTTTCAGTGAAATGAATGCAGTAAGTATTCTTTTTTGGGTAAATTTTTCCTACTCAATATATATATGTTTGTGAATTTCTCGAAGAGTCTATAAATCCTCTCTAGCCTCCCTTTTGTGCTTGTTTCGTGGTTTATTATCGCACGGATAAATCTGACACTCGGAAGAACGATGGTTGTCGACGTTGGCTTTCAGCGCCAATTAAAATGTCCTTGCTAAACGAGCTGAAGAAGACGCAAGTTGCATGATTGCTAAGAAAGAGGGGAGAAAGGCCAAAGGAGATACAAAGATGGTGATCATATTCCTCAAATATTGTCTTATTTGATATTCATCATCAACAAAGTGGCCTTGTTTTCATATATATTTAATATTCTCTTTATAATAGACTTTCTCACCCCAAAATATAATGACAATATATGCAAAATAACAATAATCAAAATATTCAGATTCGTATAACTGATTTTATTTAACTTTATTTGAAAAATTGTACCTTGTAGTAGTTTTCCCACGGCATCATCCAATGAAGAACCTGATGGATTTGATGGTCCAGCTTTTCTCTCAGCATCCGAATTATTATGTGATTCCATAGTTAGAAAAAAAAGTAAATTTGATATGGAAAATAATAATTTTTTTGTTAGAGAATATTCTGAATATAATTCTGAATCAGTTTAGAATATTCTTAATCACTCGTCAGTCAGACATTCTTTCGCGATAATCGTTTAATAGGGCTATTAAACATCAAACTGCACTTGACCACATGATCATCATTAAATGACTTCGAAGAGAATTACCATATTTATGGAATTTAAGTCTAATCAGTAAATTATTAAATTTCGTGAAATAATAAATAAATTATTGAACGAAGATCTAATTAGTGAATTAAATTCCAATAAGTTGTTTAATATTTGCAGATTTTATTCATTAATTTACTTTGATATCTCGCGGGAAATGTTTATAAAAGTATTTATATGATTATAATTAATACCGGGTTTATGAATTAAATTTATCGATTCGAGGGAATTGATGATTTTCCACGCTTTGCTTGACCTCCGCGCACTGGTTCACACAAACACACACACATTGCACAAACCCGGAAGTTTTTGTGATTTTTTTTTCTCTTTGCAAATTATTTTGAGATCATTTTTCTTATTTTTTTTTTATTGCCTTTTTTGTGATTGACTAATTTTCTTATTGATTTTAGGAGAAAATTTGATACATCTTGCGCGCGAGAGAAGATGATATTGAATTAGGAAGAACCGGATGACACGAAGAATCAGGGAGGTTCTAGTGGCGCACTGAGAGACACACCGGGACACACCAGGCACCAACACACGTGCACGAGAAAAAAGACAAATGCACACACGTGGACCAACACAGAGCGAGTCATGAGATGGAAGATCAGGGAGGCGGTTCCGTGGACCACCTCTCGCTGGTGGGGGGTTTCACTTCTTCGGGATTCAACCGCTGTCCTCTACCTTAAGCCGCAGCTTCCCAGGACCATCAAGGTATGTTGCACGGTTAGAGACTTTAATGGTGGTTCTCCATTTGAAACCTTTAAAAGTCGCTTTTTAATATTATATATATATATATATTATATATTAAGACAGTAAGAAATGAAGAAGTTGTATTAGATTTAAAGATTGAAGAAAGAAGTTATCATATACAGTCCTTTGAGAATGATCACCAGAAAAAAGGGGGAGGGGGGAAAGGTGATGAATTTTCGAATTTCTTTTGTAGTAAAATATTATTAGAGTCGATTAATATTAACTAGGATCAATTTAATCGTAGATCTTCAGTTTGAAAATTTCTGTATTTGACAATATAGTCAAGTAAGAGATTATTTAAATTATACCATTTTTTTTTTGCAATAGAAACGACAAAATTTGAAAATATTTTGAATTCTTAAAGGAATGTTTGCTTCAATTATATATTTGTGTTACGTTTATTAAATGAGCATAAGTCTATGATATATAGACATTGAGCAGAAGTAACTACACCCACGTCTAAATTAAATCCGGACTAGACCTGAGAATCGTATATTTCATTTCTTACCGACAAGCGCATTAAACTAGTCTCGTGGTCGCAGCCTAATTTCGCGAGAACGCATAAATTCTGACAGATGCTGCAGTCAATTTTGTTGCAAAAATTTTCAATTCCTTTGGAATTCAATGCTTTGAAAAAAAAAAATATTGAAATTTTCTACTTAGAATAGAAATAATTTTGTTATTCTGATTAAAATATTTAAACATTTTCCAATTAGCAATATTTTTAATGACTTCTTATCGTAGGAAAATATTTTTAGATATGAGAAGAAATTTTCTACTTTTGACTTAAATAAAAATAAATTAACGTGAAACAGATAAATATTTTGATTTGATCAGAAAATCACTGATGGGATTAATTGCGCGATGTTTCTATAAAGACACTTGGTAATTTTAATTATTCGAGGGTGCAGTATGATATATATTAAAAATAATGGATATAATGTCTGGAATTAAGTCTAACAAAGTTCTAGTAAATACGAAATGAAATCTTGCGTGTATGAGTGAGGGGGTTCTTTGATCTTTCACAAAAGCCGCCACACGGCATTGACCGTGGGTTATATGTGCACATGTATGGTGCACTGTCTTTGCTAGCTCACTCATTCATTAAATTTTGTTGTAAGTATAATTAGGAGCACGCGTGAACAAATTCTGCGTTTTAGTTCGCAAAATTCATCAAAACATACATATACGATAATGAAATTTCGAATCACACTTATATTGTCGCACCATTTAGTCAAACATTTTTTTCCACTGTCAACTTCGATATCGTTTCTTAATTTCCTAATATTATCGAATTGAGGATAAAATTAATTTCATAATTTAATTAATTATATTTACCGAATTTTCATTGAAAAGAATTTTTATTTAAATCAATTTTCATTAAACGCCAGAATATTTACATTTATTTATCGAATTTTTATTTGATAAAAATAAAAATATGATAAAAAGAACTTCAGTTTAAATTAAAAATTCTGTTAAATGAAAATTTGAGTTTAAATTAAAATTCGATAAATAAAGTAGTAATGATGATTTGTGAAAATAAAATTTCGGACAAATGAAGATATACAATGTGAGGAATTCGAATTCATTTGAAATGCTATGCAAATCACTTTGACTGATTTCTGTTTTCGCGTTTCTCAATGCTTTAGCAGTCATTCCATTATCTTTCATATAGGTGCTGCAGCAAATGCAAATTTAGCCGACGGCGAACAATAATATTGATTTCAAGGAGGAATTTCGCTCTTGTTGAGGTAAACATCCCAAGGCGCACGTGGTGCCAACATGTGCATTTTTGTTAGAGTTGTCTTGTTTTACAGAGGGATGCACGTATTTCTTCAAAAAAAAAAAAAAAAAAAAAAATTATCCCGGAATTAAAATGAAATTTATATAGGTTTTACATCTGATGTTGAAAATTTTTTTTTTTATAATACAATTATATTTACTTTTTACATTTTTTTACTTTCGATAGGAATAATGTGATAATTTTAATAGGAATTCGTTTATTTTTTTTTTATTGGACATTTTTTTAATTCTTGATCGAAATGTATATTGTAAGAATTTAAAGAAGAAAGTTATATGACCCATTTAAATGTCTAGAGGGCACTTTCGAAAGATTTTTGAACTCGAGAATTTGATCTGAGTTTGGATGATGATATAGAGGATACGTCGGGGAGAGTCAATAAAATAATGATTCCGGTAATTCTTGAGGTCGAAGTACTGCGTCGGATACTTGAAAGGTTTAGAATAGGACGTCAGGCCTTTGAGGGATCGGGTATAGGGGAAATCGACACATGTAAGATTCCCCCAGGAGGTGGGCCCCTTGACTTGGACCCCCAAGGGAGTCCCACAAAGCTTTGGCACATTCTGCATCGTCACTCGGCCACAGACGTCGAAACATTGAGCTAGTGATACAAGTGCACCGGTATGTTCAACGTTACACCTTACGTATACTTTTAATAACACACTCACACATGCATTCTAATATTCATATATGTATATGTAAACAAGATTGATGAAAAATCCCTTTCTCATTCGCATGTAATTCCAACAATTAATTTTATTTGCACTTTTCAATCGTCATTCTTCTCGCATCGCCTATATCATTTTGACTTTTTCAAAATTTGAATTTTTTTTTTTGTTTATTTTAAAATCTCTGCAGTCATTTTGTTTTATTATTGCGTCTGATATGAAATCGTTTTGAATAATTTACAGTGAGATAATTAGTAAAATTTAACAGGACAATTATTATATTTGTATTCCTTTTTATTCGAATTGAAATTCATCTTAATTATCTTCTTGTTGGTCCTTTATTGCATAAAGGAAGTAATCAAAATTTCAGATAAAGATCAAATTTTGAAATCATCTTTTATTATTTATATAGGATTTTTGAGTTCTTATCGGCATGAGTTTTTATTTATTTCTTAATGTTTAGAAAAAAAAACAAATATAAAAATTTGTTTGCCCTTATTATTTCGATATCTTGATTTTAATTAATTTTTTGATTACGATCGACTTATATATGGGGGTGTTAGGCAACCAAATGCTTGAGAATTTACCTTTCTGACTCATGTGTGTCATAACAGTTTGTTGATCATATATGAGATCGATGATCGATCAAAAAAAAAAAAAAGATAAATCTTTAAATTCCCCGCTTTCTTTTTGATGCATTTCTATCAAATAAAATTAGATAATATAATGAGAAATTTTAGTAATAAATAAAGGATAAAAATTAGAATATTTATTGTAAATGATGTAAATAATTGAATTAATTTTAATTTTTTCTTCCTCTATATAGAAATATTTTGTAAAATATTTCCGAAAATCTTCACCGTTATTTCCAGTTTCCGCGCACAAATGCAAATATTAAAAAAGAAAAAAAAAGCATATCTTCTCTGTATAGACTCAGGAAGCAGGAGATTAGAAGTGTCTGAAAAATAAACTTTTCTAGCAACTCATAAAAAAGAGCACACATACACATTAGGTGCATATGACGTCATATAATTATTGGCCACGAGTCGACCAATACCAGATGAAGTGTAGGTGGGAGGAAAAGGGTTAGAAAGGGAAACGGGATTAAATATAAAATTCAATGTTCAAGGGAGAAAGAGAGAAAGAGAGAGAAACGATATGGGAGGAGCAAGAAATTGTCGGATTGGTTCTCCACCTCTTGTAAGTGTATCGTTGCTATGGAAACTCTCTTCAGCTGATGAGAGACATGAACCAAAATAAATTATATTCTAAGTACTGTGTGTGCAAGAGAGAAAGAAATTATTCTCGTAAAAAATAGTGATAACGAAAATGTAGTTTTTTCCTTTTTTTTTTTATTAGGTACGAAGAAACAACTTTTTAGGATAATTTAGTTTCATAAAAAAGGGACAAGTTACATAACTTGTCACTTTTTTTATGTTCGTTTCGAAGTAGTTACTGGAATCATAAAAAAGCGTTTTATTTTATATAAATAATATAAGCAATAATTAAAATTAATATCGGATTTTTTTTTAAAGTATAAAATTGATATATTATTTTTAAAATTTGAATATTCTTCTTTAAAATTTTTATTAAACAAAAAAGGAAATATTCCGTTTAAAAATTAAACATTTTTTTAAAAATTAAAATATTTTTGATAATGGAATCTTCCTTTTAAAATTTGAATATTTCTTTAAAAAATGTAACATTATTTTTTAGATTAGAATATTTCATAAAAAAAATTGGAATTTTTTTAATAAAAAATGCAATATTTCTTTAAAAATTGGAACATTCTTATTTTTTAAATTTAATATTTCGTTTTATTTTGTTTATTATAATCTTCTTATCAAAACTGAAATATTCTTCTGAAAATTAAAACATTCTCATTTGAAATGGAATATTCCGTTTAAATTTGGAATATTCTCATTAAAAAATTAATTATTAGTCTTTAAAAAAAAATATTCTTCGTAAAATTGTAATGCCCTTCTTGAAAATGAAATATTCTAATCAAAAATTGAAATATTGTCTAAAATGAAATATTCCTTTTAAAATTGAGTTTTTAAGAATAAAATATTTCTTCCCAAACAAAACGAGAAGAATATTTTTATCAATATAATAGAATTACACGGTTACTATTTAATTCAACCCCTTTATTTCCCTCAATGAATCAAAAATGAAGATAATTTTTAAAGGCTAGTAAAATTGATTCATTTATACACTCTTGTCATCCCCTTAAAAAAATTTTTTTTTTTACATTTATCTCTTTCTCTCAAACGATTTTTAATAGATGTGTTTTCTCGTTTTGGAGCTTCTCCATCGCATTTATTTCTATATGAGTCCTCGAAGCAACAAGTGTTAACAGCAGGCGTTCGCTCCGCCTTCGAATGGTTAGTCGCGTGGTGGAAACTGCCCTGAGGCAATGCAACCACCTCACTTCTGCGCTGATCGTGTCGCACACCAGAAACTCACATCGTGAACAGTTTCACATTTTGACGTTTCTCGCATTGACTTCCGTATATAACACACAACACGCGTGACGCGTTACAAAAGAAGACTCAATTTTTTTCATATTCTTTGTGAAAAAAAATTTTCTACCTAAATATTTTTACCATCATTCTTCTTTAAATTTATTCCAATCTCCTTAGAATAATTTTATTTCTGAAATTCTTCTATATTTTAATACGGTATCAAATCTCATAAAATTTATTCCTAAAGATATTTTTACTACAAGGACAAAAGAAAGAAAATTATCAACGTGAAAATGTGATTGAAGAGTGTTCGCGAAAGTGAAAATTTGGAAATATTAAAGAATTATCACAAGAGAGAAGAAAGAATAACATTTTACGGTATCATTTTCCATTAATAATGAAATGAAAATTATACAGTTAAATGAGTGCATTTAACAATTGTTTCCTAAACATTGCCGATGATAATGAATAATAATAATGCAGATAAGATATTCGCAGTTTATTTCTGTGTTTTTGCGTCAGTCATCATTACCAAGTGTTGTCTTAATCAGTCAAATTAATTAAACCTGACAGTTTACGTGCGTGAGAAGCCAAAGAGTAAAGATCATCACCATCCCAGCTGGTTGTGATTTTTTTTTTTTTTATAAATTGTGCCGAGATTGCTTATATTCCATGACCTATTCCAATTTCCAGGAAGAATATGATAATCTCTTTCTCACTCTAAGTTTGAATAATTAAATTGCAATCACTTTTGTATATATATATATAAGATTCGAGTAAAACTTGAATTGTCTTGAGAAAAATGAATGAAATTATAGGAGACACTTCTAATTCATCGGGAGGAAAATATACATATTCTTGCACATCAACGAGAAGACGTTTAAACGATATGATGGAGGAGACAGAAAATGGATTTCGTCGTCCTGCAGCAAAACGAAGAATTGCTGATGATTCGACAAATAAAAATTCATCGGAAGAAATTTCCTATCATAATAATTTGAAAAGAAATTCAAATGAAGATGAAGAATCATATGAATTGAATAATCACCACGTGGGTAGTGATGTTTCTTCTTTTGCCTCGTGCGGAAAGAGGAAACTCAATGACATTTCAGATGAGATTCCCTCTGGTGCTGAAGATGCATATTCCTGTGTAAACAGAAAAATGAATGAAATTATGTCGACAGATGGAAATAATTTATCTTTAAATAATGGAACAGAAGCTGCATTTCGTTGTCCGGCGTTGAAGAAAAAAATGAATGAAATCATTGAAGAATCTACCGGTATACTTTCATTGGAATCTGAGTCTTTTCCCTCTTCGGGTAAGAGGAACAATAATGTTGATACATTATCAGGAATTGATTCCACTGAAATGGAAGTTGCTTATCGTTATGCTACGACGAAGAGAAAAAATATTGATGGAGAATCGTCGTGTACAATTGGCACAGGTGGTGTGATTAATGTGAAGAACAATAATTCAACCAGTAAAAATAATAATTCACTAATTGGACCAAATGGAGAAGGAATCAGCGCCGCCGTCGCTAAAGTTCTCAAGGGATACGATTGGAATCTTGTGCCAGTTGCTACCAAGTAAATTATTGTCTATCTTATTTTTACAATTCATCAAAATCACAAAAAATCGTATTGGTATAAAATAAGGTCTTCTTTAAAATATTTAATTCACAATTTTCTGTGATTATTAAAAATTATATTCACCAAAGGAAAGATATTTTATAAATATAAATAAATAGAAATCAATTTATAATTTTAAATTTTAAAACACGTTTTTTGGTGTTTTTTCTTTAGTTTCATTTTTTTACAACTAATAATAATTTTAATAATTTTTTTTTTTTTTTTTTTTTTTGACGGTAGAAATTAAAATATTCATTTTGTGAATAGGTAAAAATAAATTTTCAATTGTAGCCCCCAGACAAAATCGATTAACATTATATTGTTATTTAATTATAACAAAAATAGGACACCTTAAAAATATCGGCTTGATATCTGAATATACAATTAATAAGACATTAAAAAATGATTAACCTCATTTCATGATCAATTGTAACTATCGCTTATTAATAAGATCTATAACCGTTTTTAAAAAATTGGTTTTGCTTTTTTTTAGTAATAATAATTATATTCGATGAATGGTTTTGCAAAGAATGTAAATTTTCCAAAATTCAAGAATTATTTTCTATTATTATTATTATTATTATTATTATTATGAAGCAAAAATGTATTTTAATATATTACTATTTTCTTATTAAATAAATTAGTAAGTGTAAATTAAAAACGTTTTTTTGAAAATTGTTTCTTTTTTATTTTTATGTTTTCGATAATGGAATTTGAATTTAGTAAAAGAAAAAAAAAACGCCAGTCGTTGCGTAAATATTCGTTACGTTAAATTAGCGAAACGTTAAATGCAGACGTTTAAAGAATAAGATTTTTAAAAGGTAAAGTCCTGTAAAGTTGTTGCACGTGGAAATGTTTGAAGTGGGGGGAAAAAAGAGAAAAAAGAAGCTTTCATATGATGACAAGAGAGGTGAGGAGACCAAATGCATATAGTAGTAGTTTAACAAGAAAACAAAACAAAAAAAAAAATGCGTAACGCTAACTCAATTATGACGCACTCGTTTCCCCAGCCTGGGAAAGACCCGCGGAAAAAATGTCCTCGACTGTCAATTAACGCAAATTAGCTAATTAATACCCGATCGCTTGCGAAGTCTCTTTGGGGTTGCTTATTCGAGGAGTGGCGAATGTATTGGCAAATGCCGTGGGAAAAGAATATAATATATTTTCCATAAATATATATATATTTTACCTATTTAGAAAATTTGAAAAAAAATATTTTTTTGCACTTAAAAAAAATTTTTCTTGAAACTTTAAAAAAAAAAAAATGCAGTTGATATTGCGCCATCGATCTTGATGGATTTGATGATAAATCGGGACACTCGCTTTAAATGATGCAATAATCATATTAGTTTAAAATGGCCGAGCTCTGATCTGGTATTTCTAATTGCCCAGTTTGACTAATAGGATGTGTCGATATATGGAACGTTTAAAATCGTATAGATGAAGATATACGCACATGAAGAAAAAAAAATTCTGATTAATATTAATTATTTGTTTTGCAATCATTTTATTATATATCGAAATTTAAAATATTCTAAAAATTAAAAATTTACAAAGAATTTAAAAAATTAAATTTTTTAAATTTATAAATTTATTTTTAACATTTTTTTTTTTTTTAGGGATTGAGAGTATAATATAGAGATTAAAAAAAAAATTTATCTTAATTTTCATGTTGATTTAAAGATTAATCGACAAATTATTATTGTTTGAATAGTAGGAATGAGAATTTAGACGCACCTAAATTAACACCGCGACGGGAAACAAGGTTCAGTAAAAATCTCACAGGCTATCATATTATCCGGAATTTCTTATCAGCGTCACTTACCCTCGCACACAAATACAGAGGGTTATCAAGGGCTGTAGAAAGGGTATACCAATGTTTAAATTTCTAAAACATGTTGCGATAAAAGTCAATGAATTTCATTCTTATGGGAATTTTTGGTTGAATTTTCAAATCTACGATATTATTAATATATGCAAATAAAATGTTTTATCATCATCTATAAGTATAACAACAAAAACTATTGTTGATAAAATATTATAGATAATTGACACTGTTTCACGTGATGATTTTATGATATTTGATTTTATCTCTACATACCAGGTTTTTGATTGTTTTAGGGCAATATTAATTCTTAATTATCTTTTTAAATTATATTAATTAAGGTTAGTGTGCTTCTTGAAAATAAATATTAGCAGATGTAATTCAATTTCCGTCTTTTTTGTTACTTCTTTTTTTTTTGAAGAAATGAAAATTTCTTTAGTATAAGAAAAATTTCTTCTTTTTCTTCTTCTCTTTTTCTGATTGGAATCACGTTATTATTTGACAACAAATTAACTTATATGGTTTCATATAAAAGAGGCTGTAAAATTTTTTGAATAGTCGAGAGCTCTTGATGATGAAAAATAAAAATAAAGAGAAAAAAAAAACAAAAAGGAGTTAGAATCACGTCAGCCCGTACGTCAATTTCCTATCTCAGAAGCAAAAGTTTTATTATGAAGTCATCAGCTAGAAAAGAAAGGAATATACGTCCGTTTGTCCATCAAATGTATAGTGTTTATTTTAAGACCGTGCAGGTTTTGCTACGGCTGATATAGGGTAGCAGCCACCACAACTTTGAAACGAATATACTTCTCTTTCTCTCTCTTTCGACTTATAAGAGAGAAGGTTATTATTTTTTGCCAGTCACCGTGGTTATGTCTCTTGAGAATTTGACGAACCCTCCTTTTTTTCAACCCTTTATACATTTTCTTATCTTATTTCTTTTCCGTTTAATTGAGACTTGAACAAGTTCAAGAGGTAAAATTTCCACGCGTGGTGTTGCAATTCCACGAGGTGATATTTTGACTTGTAGCGCAGCTATTCGCAGAGGCAGTTTACCTTCTTAGAATTTTGCTCTTTGTCGGATAATATTTTTAAAATAATGCTTGTCTTTACAGTTGGGAAAAATGAAACTAAAGGAAAAATAGTAAAAAGATTAGACTAGAAATGATGTTGATTTTTTTTTTAAATTAGCGAAATGAAGAAAAATTAATTAAGTAATATTTGAAAAATTTAAAAATATTGTAATTGAAAGAAAATTTAAAAACTTTCTTTTGCTTTTTATCTTTTTTTTTTCCTTGTGTTAAGAAAATGCTTTTTCCAATGAAGATAATTTCTTTCAATTGCAGGGGTTCCGGTGACAAAAGAGCGGCTCATATAAAAAGGCCTATGAACGCATTTATGGTATGGGCGCAAGCTGCAAGAAGAAAGCTCGCTGATCAATATCCACAACTTCATAATGCGGAATTATCAAAAACTCTGGGAAAACTTTGGCGGTGAGTTAATTTTCCATATTTCAAAACATTTTAGAATAAATGCTCCAATAAGTCTTAAAGAGAAGAATAAATGAGAAAAAATAGTCATAAAAAATAAGGCAGGTTTTAATTATAAAATTTAATTGTAATTAGAGATTTTGGAGAAAGAGAATTGAAATTTTCCTGTTATATTCTTTTTTTTCTCCTTGGCTGCGTCAATTTCTGTGAAAGAGATATTTTTCGTAGATATTATGCACTTTTTTTTTGTGCAATTCGTGAAATCGTGTGTTGTACAAGATGAAAAAGTAGAAAAAAAAACAAAATCTTGTGATATATATTCCCTTTAGGAAGACACCGTTTCGATATAATTAAACGAGACCACGTGTCTTTAATCAGGGTTATACCAAGTACCGATCAGATAAGGTGAATTCTCACAGATGTGTGTTTACGCCATGAAACTAAGAACCAACCATGAGTACGAAGATCATCATGATTATCGTAAATTTATACCAAGTGTCCGCCTCTTCATTTCTCTGAATGTAAACTTTTCCCCCCTTCTTTTTTTGTCTGATTGTTTTGTTATACAACTAAAACAAAAATGGTCAATACGGTTCATTGCAAATTTTTGAATACAAAAAATTTTTACATTATTTTTGTTCCATATAAATAATTCAAATTTAATAATAATAATAATTATTATTATTATTTAACAACTAAAATCTGTTATTAACAAAAAGGGATTTTGAGAAAAAATACTTTTTTCAATATTATATATTTTCTAATTATACAGTGACACATATTCTCTAAATGACTGTTTACTGGACTAGTTAATAATCAGTTAAACAATCTAGATAATTTTTTTATGTTATTAGGTCAAGACCTACATTTAAGAATTAATTTGAAATTTTAATGGGAATATAATGTAGCATCATAGAAATTGGGTCAGATTAAAAATTTTCGTATGTTTATATTGTTAAAGAAGTTAATTTTAAAGACGTGATCAATGAATGATTTAAATGTTATCAATAAAGATAGATTTTTATATTTGAATTTTTAATTGAAAAAAATTCTAATTGTTTAAAAAACAAATAAACAAATATTGTCGAATAAAATATGGAATGTAAATTGTTTATACAGTTCCGTTTCCTGATTGATACTAACGAGGTTCCATTTGCCCCCCAATGATCATCAGAGAGTCCGCCAACATGAATCCCTGCTGGGAATCGTTTTATAATTCGAATGATCGTGATCCTCCGGTCAAACAACCGCGATTCGTGTACTACATTGACTAATGCGGTTTTTTTTCCCTCCCTTTGCAATGATCTTTGATCTAAATGTCTTCGATAACGTTACTTAATATCGATTTCTTTTTTTTTCACGAATCATTTTTAAACGTTCTAGTCACATGTATGTCCTAAAAAAAATAACAAAATTTTAATTTAAATTTTAAATGAAAAAAGGATTTAATTATAACATTGTTGAATTAAAATTTTTTTCCTTTATTTCATGAATATATTTGTATTTTTGTGTGAAAGTAAATGTTCATATGAACAACTTTATAATATACCTATTGCGCTTAAACACTTTTTCAAGTGGCCCGAAATCAAATTAGCACCTGTTGTAAACACGAATGAAATTTAAATAAACTGACGTAACGATTTTTTACCTTTGAGGTGAATGAACCGGTATATAGCGATTTCAAGGCGTGATTTTAAGAATTATTTCATTTACACAAATTTTCAATTTCTATTTGTTCTCTGTTATGAAATTATTTTTAAAAAAAATTTTTCAATTCGTAAAAATATAGAGAAAAAAAATTAAAAATAAATTTCTATAAAAATGAACCTTTGAATCACTTTGCGTTATTGACCCCCCATTGAATGAAAAAATAATATAAATAAAATTTCTTTAAAAAAATATTTTATTGACTTTCTTCGCGATGCTGAACAAGCAGAGATCGAATTTCGTTTTGTAACTGTTGTAGTGAAACAAATAATACAGTCATCTTTCCTAATGATCTCTCCACTGCAGGTATTAACAGATGAATAATTCGCTTTTACAATCTATAGAAATCAATAAGCAGATTTATCGTGTCAGATTCTTGAAATATATTTCGCAATTTAATTTAATTATATTTTAATTAATTTTTCTTTTAATTACAATTACCAAAATGATTATTAATATCACAGAATACATAATTTTTATTTAATTTTATTTAAAAAAATATTTTATTTTACCATACATAGACATAAATTCATCGTATTTAGTCAAATATTTAAAAATTTCTATAATAAGAAATCTCATATTATAAAGTCCGAAAATTCGCTTACGTTATCTATCAGTAGGTATGAATTTGATAAAAATCCAGGTGTGGTGGACATCTAAAATAAATCTCACTTCATCCTTAAATGGGACAGATGAGCATATCTGGAAAGATACTACATGTTGTTTATCAAAAAAGCTAGATAACTTCGTCCATTCTTGGCGCGTGCTAGCAGCTGCTATCCCTGTTTCTGATATACAAATAAAGAACGAAAAATTACAATGTGATCCTTGTCTTCGTCAGGTGAATTTTTCTTAACCTGCATTTTCAAAATTGAAAAAAAGAAGAAATAATCAATTTTCTTTCCTTAAATTCTTAATTTTATAGAATTCTTTTTTAATTTTTTAATTCATTTAAAGGAAAATAATATAGTTGAGATAAAAATTAAAAAGAGAGTGATTCTGTGCAGAAGTTCACTGCCAAAGATGTAAAAAAAAAAGAAAGATAGGTCGTTTCACCGTGTGAACTAGACTAGCGCTAGTAACATCTGATATGATACAAATAACTACGCTGATAGGGTGCCACATCTAAATTAGCTGACCCTGTTATGCATCTGGCGAGCAAAAAGTAAGACGAGTGTTATCGCGCAAAGCCCACGAAAGAAGAAGAAAAAAAAGCTCAGACAAAGTCCATTGACCATATGGGCTTTCTTTGTCGTATATATGACACTACACACATTAAATCTTGAAATGCTCTCTCATATGACACTTCCCTCAAAATATTCTTCCCACTTAACGAAAAATCTCAAGCTTCCTTTTTTTTTTTTTTGTTTCACGTCAATGTCAAATCTCGTTTCTCCGATAAGATGCGAAAATGCTTAAAAAAAAGTTTTATTTAAAATTATTTTTGATAATTATTATTCTTATGAAATAAATTTTAAATCAAATGAGAATATTTGAAGAAATAAAAATGATTTTTGTTTTTATTTTTTACAGGGTCCTGACGGACATCGAAAAAAAGCCCTTCGTCGAGGAAGCTGATCGATTGCGTTTAATTCATAAACGTCAGCATCCGGACTATAAGTATCAACCCCGTCGGAGAAAACAGAATGGACCCGGTGGTAGGGAAAATTCTCCCACTAGGAATCAAACTAACGTTACATTCAGTGTGGCAAAATCGATGAAACAAGAGGATATTAATGTGAGAGGTGCCAAATGTCCGAATTCACCTGAAAATTGTGTTAGTTCTTCACCACCTTCGACTCCTTCTCAAGGATTGACTCAAATGTCGCCACCGACGCCTCCGACAACTCCGAGATGTCAACATTACATTAATCAAGTAAGTTATTCTTGAATTTTTATCACATAATTTATAGTCACAAATTACTTTTTATAATTGTCGCTAAATTAATTAATTAAAATATATCAGTGTAATGAAATTGTCATTAACTTATTTGGGGTAATTTTTAATTAATTAATTTTTTTTTGCCCTCAGGGACATCAGCATCAACAAAATAATGCTCTTTATCATCAAGAAATTTCAACTCCATCCGCGGATTCGCCACAAGGTGATTTGAGATATCTTGATCTATCAGTGGAAGATAGTCAACTCAGTAGTTTGAGTTCGTTGGGAGGCGGGAATCTTGGTATTCCTTTTAATCTTCAAGAATGCGAGGTTGAAAGTAATGAATTGGATCAATATCTTTCTCCATCAGTGCAAAATCTTCATCAGTACAATTCCATGCCGCCTACTACTTCATCTCAATGGCCACTTAATAGGTGAGATAACATTTTTTACTGGATTTTGGATTCGATTAAAAAAATTTTTTTTTGAGCTCATTACCTAATTGATTAATTAAAAAATTTTATTTATTTACTTGATTAAAATAAAAAAAAAATTTCTTGCAGGTTCGAAGAAGATGTGGAAAAACCAAATAAGCGTTACTATCCAGATTCTTCCGTCTCTGAAGTGTACTGGGAAGACAAATCACAGGAGATGAGATATCATGATCTACAGCCACCGCTACCGCCTGTTCAGTATGTACCCACGCAACATCATTCACACACAACAACAACAACTCAAGTGGGTCATCCACATGTTTCTAATCCTTATTCTTCGTACCATCGTTATATGCCCAGTATTGAAAATTGGGCTAATTCCAATTTCCTTTAAAAAAAAGAATCTAGCCAAAGTCCCCCAATTAATTCACTGTCCTCTTTTTCCCTCCGAGGAAAAAAAAAACGTCCAATTATATTTGTTAAAATAATTCCGTTTTTTTTCACAAATCGCAAATTTTCTCTTTTTTATTTTAAATGATTTTTAAATTGTTTCTCAAATTATTCAATTGAAAATTTATTTTGAAACTCATCTTACATTACTGAATTAATATTAATTGAACTGAATTCTATTTTATATTGAATCAAAATTTTGACCTAAATTTAAAATTCCGAATATAAAACATTAATTAAAAATTGATTACATTTTTAATATTTAGTTGATGTTTTTTTAACTTTGAAATGAATGACATTTTTTTAAACAATTTTTCATAACGATGTTTTTTTTAAATTAACAGTTGTTTTTAAAACGCTGATTAATGTTTCGGAAAATACAGAGTATGACATATAAATATAAAATTGAAGACGTTCTGTGTACGATAACAGAAGTAATGAAGACAAAGAGTGGGAGTTGAAGAGATAGCCAAATACGATGTAATTAATGGTTAATTACAGTGATTATAATTAAATATAAGTACTGCGCGTGTCATTTTCGAGCGCAATTATTATATAGTCTATATTTTATATATATATATATATATTATATATAGAAATTATAATAAGTTCTATTATATAGATATGCAAATTTTGCATATATACTTCATGATATAGAGTATACGTTTATTAGAAATTAATATGGAATTTGTGCGTGTGAGAAATGCCTGTGAGGCAAAAGAAAAGAAAAAAAACTATAAGACTCCATGACATCATTCCATGACAGCAGATCATTCCAAAGCGGACAATTTCAGAACAAACAAATACCGCTTCGATATGTGCCTGATCTAATAGTATAAACTTGAACTGCATATAAACTGCATTCAATGTTTATTATACACGTTGAACTTAACTTCTATCACTGACACTTCAAATAAACTTCTTCAAATTTCCAACGTTGTATATGAAAATCATTGAAATTTCAGTTTCAATTTCAAGGAAACATAAATTTCAGTTTTATTTCCTTATAATTAAAATTTAAAGAAAGAGTTTGCTTTTCTTAAATTAAAGAAAAAATATTTCAAACGAAATTTGAAGAAAGAGATTTTTTAAAAAGCACTTTTGACAATAATATATAAGAGATTAATATGTCACTAAAATGAATTCCAGTTGGAAAGAAAAAGTGCTATTTTAAAAATTTTACTATTAATTAATTAAATCAATTTTTAATTAATTAATATAGCCATATTAACAAAATTAACGATTTTTATCATAGATTTGCTTTTGTACTTAGATATTTATTTAGCTGAGAAACATGTTTACAAAAAAAAAATGCTTTCTTGAAATATTTTTATTACGTAAACATAATTTTTAAAGAATAAAAGAAATTTCATGAAAGAGAAATTATAGATAGTTTTTAAAAATTATCTCTGCACGTTATATTATTTAATGTATTCTATATATAAACTATATCCATATATTTTCCGAAATATTTGAAATGTCGATTTACTCGAAATAAAGAATTCTACAAAGATAATTGATTTTTTATTAACCTGTCCTATTTTTTTGAGAGTATTGAGTTAAAATTAAAGTGATGTTAATTTTAACAAAAAAAAAAAATTTTATTACATTTAGAATTAAGTTTTCAATGAAAATTATTATTTATTTTGTATAATTAAATTAAATTAAATTTAATATTAATTAAATTTAGTATAATTTACCGATTATTATTTATGTTATTTCAATTGGAAATTTAATTCTAAACATAATAAAAATGTTAATAACTGTAGCAATAATAGAAATGAATAGTAAATAAATAGGGTATTAAAGTTTAATTATGTAATAAATTAATAAAAAAAAATTGAGTATTTATCGGGTTTTCAAGTATTTTGAATTTTTTTTTCTTTATATGTCGTTGTTTTAAAATTCATTTCTGTTGTAGAGAGAAAAAAAAGAGGAAAGAAAGAAGCAGAGCGGAAGAGAGTTATATGAGAGTCAAATATTTGCACTTCTTTTTTTATATTTTCGGTTCTATTGCAGTGTCAGGGTGACGGTGGACCATTTTGGAATTATGTGATCACAAGTCAACATCTTTATCAAAAACCTTGTGCGAAGAACGTGGGAATGTCGACGCCTTTTATGCCACTTATCCGCAACTTAAGATTAAAAACTTTGAATTGTGTGACTTATATTTTTTACAGGTCTTATTAGGACACTTATATAAGGACTCGATTCAATCAAATCTGAATGATATATCCTTTTTTATATTTAATTCAAATTTTCTTATACTTTTTTAATCTTTTAAAATTTCTCACAATCGCATCAATTTGAAGGGGGAAATAAATGAATAATATATTATTTCTTAATACAATAAATTTTTTTTTTTTTATTTCTTCTTCAATTTGATTTAAGTACGTTTACCTTTATTTCATATATTTATATATCTATCAAAGTCCTTAGCTGGAAATATATAGAATTCCAGCAAATAAAGAGTCATCATTTCCGGGCATTTTTTGACCCATCAACGATATATGTATGGAATCCCAAGAAAATAATGTCATGACCTGGGGAAACAATCAGATTTGTTTATTTCTATAAAGCTAAGTATTAAAATAATCAAAATTTCGTGCGAAGTGTGTGCCGAAAGGTTATCGTTTAATTTAATTTATGTCTTTTTAGAATATTTCAAGTTCTTCAAAAACAGGACAGTGACTTTTTCTCGACGCAGTGAAAAGTTTTCGATTTGGGTCAAGTAAATAAACCAATGGCAAGTCACTTTTTTTTACTTATAAAAATAAGAGATATCGCATAATATGTTTCTATAGATATAGTACTAAACTTTTAACAAATGTTTTTTGAGCAAAAAATGTTTTTTTCTTATAAAAAATGAAAATTTAAGAAAAAGGAAAATATTGAAAATTTCATAGGAAGTACTTTTTTTTTTAAAAAAAAAATGTAAAAACTTTCGTACATTCTACGATATATATATTTAAATGAGAATGAGCAAAAAAATCTATATTTTCGATTACATCATATATTATCCGGATTACATGATTTGGCCGTTAATGTCAATATTTGAAATTCGATAAAATTCGACAATTCCTGCATTGTGGCCCAGGATTGCGGAAGAATAAAGAGTCATAAACGACATCAGCTGCCTTCAATCGAAAATTATCGCATATTTAAATCTCTTTTACTTTTTCTAAATTGGAAATTATTTTTTACATACTTTATAGAAAAAAAATTTATTTAATTCAAATATAATCGATTACTTAATTATTATCTAATAAATATTTCATAGAACAAAGTTTTTATTTGAATCAAATAATTTTTATAGGAATTTTTGAATAATTAACAAAACTTAATTTTTTACATCAGTTTTTGTATAACTAGAAAATCGGACCAAGTTTCAAAATTATTTCTTAAAAAAAAAAAATGATTAATTTTTGTTTATATTTGTAAAATTTGTATTAATTGATGAAATTTTGGGTCATTTACAGGAAAATTTAATTGGCATTCAGCGAGAGTGATTTGCGGTAATAACAAAACAAGTTTAAAAAAAAGAGGGTCGAAGAGAGTTTTCTGGGAAGTAATCTCGTTTGCACGTTTTCGTCTGGACCCGACATCCTCATCTTTGCAGATTGAAGATATATAGGAAGACGCCAACCTAGAAGTCGTTCTCGCTCATTTGGTATGTAATCACGTCTTTTTTTTTACTCAAGATATTTGTAAGATAGAAAATGCACTTGAATCTAAATATAAGTAACATAATTTTCAAGAACAGTTTCTTAAACGCAGTATTTTTTTTTAAAAAAAAGAAATATTTTCTTGAACTAATACATATTATTTCTGGTTGGAAGAATATTTTTTTACATTTTCTGTTTATTATTTTAAAGAAAATTTTCCAAAACTTGTGAAAATCTTTTTTTTAATTACAAATTTTTTTTTAGTTTCAATAAAAAGAATTTTTTCTAAACAAGGAAAATAAAATCAAGAAATTTTTCTTTTTGAATTAAAAAAATATAAATCTGTTATTTTTTTTTTGATAAAGGAGTTTAATACACATAATATGATATTGAAAAATTTAAGGATCTTTTTTTTTCGAGATTTTTTCCTACTGATAAGAATTTGTATTTAGATAACGACATTATCAATATAGCAATTCATGATTCTCAACGTGGGGTATTTATATATATTTGATTATCGCAGGATTTTGTCGCGTAATTACCATGGTAACCTAGTGATAACGGGCTACTCTATTTGATTTGCTATTGACTTGTTATTTGAGGATCTATATATGCTTGTACAGTAAAATAACGTGTGTATGGGTATGCAGTCACGGCCTGTTTCACACGTGGTCGTTCTCGTCACGAGCACTTAAATATGTCAGATTAGAAAAGTTCTCGAAACCCCTTAGAATTTTTGCTTTTTTTTTCATCCTATATGAATTATTGTCACTACAAATCACAAATTTCGACTTAAATTAAAAATAAATTTAAAAGAATTTCAATGTTAATTTTATAAATGAAAAAATTTATTACTATTATATTAGAAATAGAAAAAAATCAATTTCTTTATTATTCTTTGCACAAAAAAAAATCAGTTATAATTAATTATTTTTTAAAAAGTAATAAGTTTGATTAATTAATAATATACTTTGATTATATTATCTGTATTATATTATTTAATTTTTTGAAATAAGTCACTTCTTATATTGCTTGAGTTAGCGGGATAATAAAAAGCAGTTGAGTCTGTCGTATATCACTCTCGCGTAGATTTTGTAGGTCTGTTTTTTTTTGAGCTTTGTGAAATTTGAGCGTCAATTTTTACGTTCAGTCTCACCTCTTGACCTTTTCAGCGTCTTTCTGTCTGAATTATTATTATTACAAATATAATTAACTTGGAAAAAACTCTAATAAATAGATTTTAGTGGGCATTTTTATTTTTACTTAAATATTTGGGCTTTTTCACATTTTTTTTTTTTTTTATTTCTAAAATTAACCATTTTTCCCTTTGTATATATTAGTTGACATTTATTGTTTATTGACTTACAATTAAATTACAGTGAGTGAGAGAGAAGATATTAGTGATGAAATAAATATACGCATAATAATTGAATTTAGCTTTCAGGTATCAAAAGTAATTAAAACTTTGACTTGACCCTAAATTATATGTTTACATTAACAATTGTCTACAAAGGTTCTCGTTAAAATTCGCGAAATTTCGCTTGAATTTATTCTAATCTCACAAAGTAGAAAATATTCTGATATATTTGAAAATAAATTGTATAAAAAAAATATTTTACTAGATTCAATTTTTTTTAAGTAATAAAGTATAATTTTGTATACTTATGTAAAATATTTTTTTCAGTTTATAGGCATCCGTTTCTTGAAGGATGGGCGTTTGTTGCAGAGCAGCTCCTGGAGGAGATCGGGCATAGCTGAGCGCAGTTCAATGTAAGTTAATTAACTTTTTCCCTAAAATTTTAAAATTACATTTAGAATATAATTATTTAAAACAGTGTCACAAATTTATTTAATTCGAATAATTGGATTAGAAACATTCTCTTTAATATATATAATTTTTTTTTCTAATTTTCAGACAGTTGGTGCAGAAAAGAGGGAAAACTTGTCCGTTTCGAAAGAAAAGATGCTGTCATCGTATATTTCTACCACGATGCAGAAATTTGCAATAGTGAGTCTTTTATTAACTTTTTCAAAAATTGATTTAAAAATTATTTTTCAATTGGATTTAGTTACTTTTTGAATGTAATTAACGCTACAGCGATTTTTATACATATTATATTGAAGGAGATTTTTATTTTCGTAGTTTAAAATTATTAATTAATAATTAATAATGATTTAGAAAATAGTAAAATGATTAAATTTTTTTATTTTTCAGTCATTGCCGAAGGACAGGAAGGATGTGGACGAAGAAAAGCGGCCCCAGTATGCTGCCGTATTTTTTTTTATAATTTTTTTTTTTTTTGGCGGTAGTGTAGCTCTTGACCTGTGCAGAAGTGCAATCAAGAGCAGGGATCTTCGAGAGTGGTCCATGAAGAAACAGAAAGGGGCAATATTGCTCCCACGTGGGATTCACCGATTGGTGAGTCGTTTTTTGATTTTCTGTTTTAATTTTTCTTAATTGTATTAAATATTTCTTTGTACTTGTATTATAACATTTTTTCAGTTATCGTGGTGAGCGATAATATTTTTACAATTATATTAATCATTTTTCCCTTTTAGGAATTTGTTTTGTATTTTATTAATTTATTACGTATATACTATTATTTATTATAATTATGAAAATAATTTAGTCACATTTTTCAAATTTTAAAAATTGTCCCCCCCCCCCCCCCGTTGAAAGTAGTAAATTTTCTTTGTTAGTTAATTTTTTCTGATTGGAATATTGAAAAATGATATGTTAACGTTTCCGAAATGCGGATGTGTTTAAAAAGATTATCCATAAATAGTATAGAGCTGTAAGCGATATTACTGGGATCGCGCCACGATTGCAATTTACTTAACGCAAGTTCAATATTTATTTGGCGTGCCCACCCACATATTGCTTATGGTACATATATATATATATATATATATATATATATATATATATATATATATATATATATATATATATATATATATATATATATATATAAACTCGTGTGTAAATCGCTTAAAGCTCCGAAGCCTTAAGCGGGACTTTTTAGTTTTTACCAAGAGTACACACATGTGTGCTCGGTCAGCGGCGATTCTTCAACGATAAAACTTATATACATATATGCCGTTTGCTTATAAGACCGGACCTCGCGGCTGGCAACTTGAGCGAATCGCAAATGCGATGGTGCGCACATCCGTTGCTGAACACTTTGCATGTTGGGGTATATATATATATATGTACATTATTGCATGCAATGTACTTATACTATGTAACTACATTAAATGCACCTACTACCATCCACATTGAAAATTTATGCCACTTATAATATTCTTTCTAGTGTTATGCCCTCTATATTGGACTCTTTAACGATTTTATATGTATGAAATATTTGCGTGCAAGGAATTTCTAAACTTTTATAGCACACAACTGCCTTCTTGAAGATAGTTGTTAAGATGAAAATTATACGAGCATTTTGCTTCTATATACTTCTTGAGATATTTAATTTATATACACAAATTCCCCTTTAGGCAAATTTTGTTTTTTGTTTTTTTAATTCTGTCTAGGCCCAAAGCTATAATTTCATAATTTTCTGATTTAAATATACTTATGAGTAATTTTTATTTTATTCGTAATTAATAATTTTAATTTAGTAATTTCTAATTATTGATTAGAAAATAATAAGTTAAAATTAATTGAATAATAACAAATAAAATAAAAATTAGTACCTGTTTTTATTTATGTTAGAGGATTTAGGTTTATTTTTTTTTCGGTTTTAATTCTAATTTTTGTAATACAATTCTGAGAAAAATGTTCCAATAATTTATACAGTTATATTTTATAAAAAAAACAAACATTGAGCTTATTATTTTTTTGTGTGGGTAAAAATTTTCTCCCAATATATATCTTCAACTATTTTAATTTACGACTAAATGACACACATTGAAACATTGAACAGAACATGAGAAGTTAACTACGAGTTACAGATTTACGAGTTTTAGTGAAAAAGCACCACATATTATACGCGTGATCATTTTAAAATTCTTTTGAGGCTCGTAAAAAATTTTATTTTTCTGTGATTAAAATTCTTCAATTCTAAGCAAAATTGTTTTTTTTTACAATGCAATTTTACTTTTTCAAAAAAAAAGAGTGAATATAAATTTTTAAATAGAAAATAATAATAATAATAATTTAGAAATTAAAATTATTTTTCAGTTTGGATTTTTTAATTTCTTTAAAACATTTTTATTATTATTCTTTTTAAAAATTGGCACGCTTCGAGTCCTCGTAAAACTTGAACTCTTGTTACGTCTAATAGGTCTCAATATTTTGGTATAGGATATAGAAGTTTTAGAAAAAAGTTCCGACTCCCTCATCTCCTATTTCTGTCGATAAATTTGCGTTGTTTACTTGTCAAAATATAGGCTAAAGTTACGTTGGCTATAAATTTTCATTCGAAGCCTTATTAAGAAAAAAAAAAAAAAAAAGAAAGAAAAAAATAATCTTAAAATACTCCAGGGTTAAGGGCAGTTAGTCGTGGGCGATATTCAATTCGGTTGCTGCAATACGAGAACGATTCTGTAACAGTTTATAGGACCTCAATTTGCCTAGGGATTTTTAACGACTTTGACCTTTTTTTTTTCTTGAAAAAAAAGAGGGCAGGTGACGAATTTTTATGAAGTGTATAGAGAATAAAAAATGTACCATTTCCGAAAATTTTGGTATAGTTTTTATTTTTAGAAGAAATTGTAAGAAAAAACGCACATCATAGAGAAATATTTTTTACTCTCTCTTTTTTTTTTTATTATCTTATTAGCAAAAGGATAATCGCATGACACTTCGATATTCTACCAAGTCAAGATGACAAAAAAAGAGTCATGAAGTACTACAGCTGCTTGCCAGACGAGCAAAAAGGTCGGAAAGACAACTTCAAGAGGCTTTAAGACGCCTTTGGACTTTTGGATTGTCTGGATTGATAGAATATCTCCTTTTTAAAAAAAAAAAAATATATAATTTAATCTTTAAAAATATTTCTTCTCACAAGAAAAACAATGTTTGATAAAATATTGTTACTTGGGGAAAATTTATTAATCAAAATTCTTTTATAGAAAAAAAATTAATTGAAAAAGAATAATTATATTAAAAAAAAAAAAAAAAAATTGTAACATTTTTCCAATGACAAAGTTTATACTGATAATATTTTATCGAAAGATTTTTTTTCTAGAGTGAAGAAATTCTTTGAAAAGAAATCTTGTAATTTTTATCAAGAATAGGATCATAGTATATCAGAAAAATAGAGATGCTGTCAAAAAATTTAACAAGAGACAAGAAGAACTCTTGTCAAATTTTTTGAAGGGTCGGTGCATCAGAAAAATATCATTTTTGAGAGTTGAAATCTTTATAAAGTTAGGAATCCCATCTAAAGTTTCTTTCTTACTCGGCTGCTTTGGCTGAAAAAACCTTTTGGTTTTTCTTATATTCGGTTCGTTTGACATTTGATAGTGCCGGCGTGTGAGCACGTGTACGAACACATTTTATATATATATATACAGTACATATATATTACGTATTCATCTTCAAATTTAATACATATGAAATTACATGAGGATGAATTAACACCGAGGGGGAAAAAAAAAAATTCTTCCTCATTCAAGAAAGTTGACTGCACTCTTTTAAAATTTTTAGAAAAATATTAAATTCTTAAATTTCTTAAATAATACTTGATTATTTAATATGCAATTATTAATTATATAATATTTTAAATTATCGACATATTTATATTATTCAATTAATATTATTTAATAACAATTATTTACAGTGAAATCAAATTTTTTTAAAATTAGCTTTTCAATTTAAATTTATTTTGAACAATTTGATATTAATTTAATTAATTCTTCTTGAATAATATTAATTGAATAATTTAATAAAAAATTATAAATAAATAAATTTTGAAATTAAGAACAAAATATTTAAATGCAATATTTATTTATTAAAATTCGTGATTAAAATGAGAAATAAATTTTTTTAATCGAGATGCATTTCTTTGCGATTCGAAGGCTCATCTTCTTGTAGGCAATTCTGTCCATAGATACGATCTTTTCCATTTGATAAATCACTACCGGAAATTCCGACAAAAAAGCACATCGCTCGTTCTCGCGCTCTATATGCTTAATTGGCGCAGTACCATTTACAAAACGAGAATTTTATTCAACTGCAATTACATACACACATATACCTCTGCAAATATGATAAAATCTCTCTTTTCGTTTTTGTCAATATAATTTTTTTCATATGAAATAAATTTTATTTTTTTCAATTAATTTTTAATTAATATAATAATAATAGTTTGGGGAAAAATAATATTGATGAGAATTTTGAGTACGTTGGATGTTTAAATATTAATAAATGTCGTACGAATTTAGCTATTCAAAATGTATTATTATTTTTAATTTTTTTTTTTTTTTTGAGTGCTTTGATGTCATATTGCAATTCTGTGGGCACTTGCGTTAAAAACAATTTATTTACGCGAATACATTTTGCCCTTGACGGCGCGCGACTCGCCGAGCGCGTGCTACGCTGAGGACGAAAGACAGTGCTCTCATTGTATAGCCTATTTATTTATCTGTCAACAATTACATTGGGACGTGGCCTACGAGAAATCACTCAAAAGGCAGGAAAAAAATTTCTGCACGTGATGTCCAAATAATTAATTCCAATTATATAAGCTAAATTCGTCTTTACAGTGAATAGCGATATTAAAAAAATAATCTGTCTAGACAATTTTCGAAAGTTTATCATATATATTTTCATAGTATTAATGATAACCTTATGTTTTCATGCTGTGGAATTTTTTTATAAATTTCATTTATAACAGAGTTTTCCTAAAATCAAATTTTTATGAAAAAAAAAAATTTAATTTTGTCATTTAAGCGATTTTCAATTTAATCGAATATTTAATTAACATAATTTTTGGTAAGGAGAATTTTTGTATGAATGAATTTTTATTTAGTAGTATTTCTTTTTAGAAAATTTTCTATATAAAAATTTGGTTGAATATAAACAGGGTGTCTACTAGTCCTGGAAGTCCTGGAAATGTCCTGGAATTTGAAAAAATGTCCTGGAATGTTCTTGAAAGTCCTGGAATTTTAATTTTTGTCCTTGAATTTTTTATATTTTGCTTTTAAATTTTCAAAAATTTCTAATTTTGTCAATCAAGTTAAAAAAAATTCATTAAATAAGTAAAATGAAAATTTACTTAAGTAATTAATTAATTTTTTAATAATTTCTGAAAACAATAGTTAAACTAAAAATATTTTATTCCTTAAAGTCATCCAATTTAATGTCCTGGAAAAATAAGAAATTAGTCCTGGAAAGTCCTGGAATTTTAATTCAGATTTTTAGTAGACACCCTGATAAATTTAGTTGAATATAAATTTAGTTAAATATAAATTCAGTTAAATAAAATTTAGTTAAGTATTTTGGTTAAATAAAAATTCTTCGGTATGAAAATTAGGTTTCATATATAATGACTGCTTTGATTTATGAAATTTGTATGAATAGAAAATCGAACTTAATTTTGAAGCACTGGGAAAATTTATATAAAGCATT